TATTTTTAACCTTTATTTAACCAGGTAAGCCAGTTGAGAACAAGTTTTCATTTACAACTGCGACCTGGCCAAGATAAAGCAAAGCAGTGTGATAAAAACAACACAGAGTTACATATGGGGTAAAACAAAACATAAAGTCAAAAATACAACAGAAAATATATATACAGTGTGTGCAAATGTAGCAAGTTATAGAGGTAAGGCAATAAATAGGCTATAGTGCAAAATAATTACAATTAGTATTTACACTGGAATGATAGATGTGCAAGAGATGATGTGCAAATAGAAATACTGGGATGCAAATTAGCAAAATAAATAACAATATGGGGATGAGGTAGTTGGGTGGGCTAATTTCAGATGGGCTGTGTACAGGTGCAGTGATCGGTAAGGTGCTCTGACAACTGATGCTTAAAGTTAGTGAGGAGATTAGAGTATCCAGCTTCAGAGATTTTTGCAATTCATTCCAGGCATTTGCAGCAGAGAACTGGAAGGAATGGCGGCTAAAGGAGGTGTTGGCTTTGGGGATGACCAGTGAGATATACCTGCTGGAGCGCATACTACGAGTGGGTGTTGCTATGGTGACCAATGAGCTAAGATAAGGCGGGGATTTGCCTAGCAGTGTTATATAGATGGCCTGGAGCCAGTGGGTTTGGTGACGAATATGTAGTGAGGACCAGCCAACAAGAGCGTACAGGTCACAGTGGTGGGTAGTATATGGGGCTTTGGTGACAAAACGGATGGCACTGTGATAGACTACATCCAATTTGCTGAGTAGAGTGTTGGAGGCTATTTTGTAAATGACATCGCCGAAGTCAAGGATCTGTAGGATAGTCAGTTTTACGAGGGCATGTTTGGCAGCATGAGTGAAGGAGGCTTTGTTGCGGAATAGGAAGCCGATTCTAGATTTAACTTTGGATTGGAGATTCTTAATGTGAGTCTGGAAGGAGAGTTTACAGTCTAACCAGACACCTAGGTATTTGTAGTTGTCCACATACTCTAGGTCAGACCCGTCGAGAGTAGTGATTCTAGTCGGGTGGGCGGGTGCCAGCAGCGTTCGATTGAAGAGCATGCATTTAGCTTTACTAGTGTTTAAGAGCAGTTGGAGGATACTGAAGGAGTGTTGTATGGCATTGAAGCTCGTTTGGAGGTTTGTTAACACAGTGTCCAATGAAGGGCCAGATGTATACAAAATGGTGTCGTCTGCGTAGAGGTGGATCTGAGAGTCACCAGCAGCAAGAGCGACATCATTGATATACACGAAGAAAAGAGTCGGCCCAAGAATTGAACCCTGTGGCACCCCCATAGAGACCATAGGTCCAGACAACAGGCCCTCCGATTTGACACATTGAACTCTATCTGAGAAGTAGTTGGTGAACCAGGCGAGGCAGTCATTTGAGAAACCAAGGCTATTTAGTCTGCCAATAAGAATGCGGTGGTTGACAGAGTCGAAAGCCTTGGCCAGGTCGATGAAGACGGCTGCACAGTACTGTCTATTATCGATCAAGGTTATAATATCGTTTAGGACCTTGAGCGTGGCTGAGGTGCACCCATGACCAGCTCGGAAACCGGATTGCATAGGGGAGAAGGTACGGTGGGATTCGAAATGGTCGGTGATCTGTTTGTTAACTTGGCTTTCAAAAACTTTCGAAAGGCCGGGCAGGATGAATATAGGTCTGTAACAGTTTGGATCTAGAGTGTCACCCCCTTTGAAGAGGGGGATGACTGCTGCAGCTTTCCAATCTCTGGGGATCTCAGACGTTACGAAAGAGAGGTTGAACAGGCTAGTAATAGAGGTTGCGACAATTTCGGCAGCTAGTTTTAGAAAGAAAGGGTCCAGATTGTCTAGCCCAGATGATTTGTAGGGGTCCAGATTTTGCAGCTCTTTCAGAACATCAGCTGTCTGAATTTGTGTGAAGGAGAAGCGGGGGGGGGGGCATGGGTAAGTTACAGGGGAGGGTGCAGAGCTGGTGGCCGGGGTAGTGGTATCCAGGTGGAAAGCATGGCCAGCCGTAGCAAAATGCTTGTTGAAATTCTCGATTATTGTAGATTTATCGGAGGTGATAGTGTTTCCTAGGCTCAGTGCAGTGGGCAGCTGGGAGGAGGTGCTCTTATTCTCCATGGACTTTACAGTGTCCCAAAACTTTTTGGAGTTAGTGCTACAGGATACAAATTTCTGTTTGAAAAAGTTAGCCTTTGCTTTCCTAACTGCTTGTGTATATTGGTTCCTAACTTACCTGAAAAGTTGCATATCGCGGGGGCTATTTGATGCTAATGGTCCTCTGTAGCTCAATTGGTAGAGCATGGCGCTTGTAATGCCAGAGTAGTGGGTTCAATCCCCTGGGACCACCCATACGTAAAAATGTATGCACACATGACTGTAAGTCGCTTTGGATAAAAGCGTCTGCTAAATGGCATAATATAATGCAGTACGCCACAGGATGTTTTTGTGCTGGTCAAGGGCAGTCAAGTCTGAGGAGAACCAGGGGCTTTTTGAATGGGGCATGTTTATTTAAGATTGAGAGGAAATTACTTTTAAAGAACAACCAGGCATGTGTCAATGAGAGGAGTCAGAGGCAGTGTTGCCAACTCCTCAGTAAGGAAAGTAGCTATTGGCTGTCCTAAAAGTCGCTAAATGACGTCATCACCTAATTTGCATAATTGGCCATGTGCATGTAATTGTGATGGAGGCTGTAGGAGAGAGGAATAACGTCATGGGAGAGACAGAAAGTGAGTAAAAAAACACCCTAAATATGTTTAGAACTACAAATGAACTTTCTTCTGTCGATTCTTGTTTTTTTAAATGTTTTACATTTACATCCCGCCCTGAATGTAAGCCAGGGCGGGATCAGCCAGCGGCGGCTTCCCACATGTGCGATTCATTTGCAGTCTGGACGCGGAGGGGTGAACATCTCCTGCTCTGACTGCAGCTGGGAGGGACTGCTGTGCGAGGACTGGGCCGCCTGTGAGTGCTTTGGGACAGAGGTGGGGCCCTGGGGGTGGGGCCCTGGGGGTGGGGCCCTGGGGGTGGGGCCCTGGGGGTGGGGCCCTGGGGGTGGGGCTGCGCACGGCAGCACACGCTGCTCGTTGAGAAGAGTAAGAACGATACGTGCTTTCACGTCAGAGTCTCCAAAAGTCTCCAATAACACCAGAAAAAGTCGCTAGATTTGTCACTAGTCGCTTTTTTGAAAACGTGTCGCTAGAGGGGTCTGTAAACTCGCTAAATATAGTGACAAAGTTGCTAAGTTGGCAACACTGCGAGAGGCGGCAGCACTGCGCTAGCCTGCAACGTCACTTCCTGGATGAGTTCAAACTGCGCATGTTGTGTCCATGAGATGCCTTCATAACCGACTTTATTTGGCTTCAATGTGCTATAGAGAGAAATATTAATTGCGTCTTTTTGTAGGCACTACTTCCGCCATGTTACGTTGGACAAAGCTTATGGGGAAATGAATGGCATTTTTGTAGGGTTTTTGGATAAACACCGAAAATAAGGTATGTGGTAAACACAGGTTTAGGAGATCTTATACGTTTTTTTCAATACGATAATCTTCATTAGCTACACAACTTTTTGTGCATTTTGAAGCATTTATGTAATTTCAAAAAGCACAAAGATTTAATAATTTATAAAGATTATGTGAACTGACTGATATTATCTCACAGAACAAAACGTATAAGATCTCCTAAGCCTGTGTTTACCACATACCTTTTCAGCGTTTATCTCAAAACCCTATTATTTCCCCATAGGATGGCTGAACGAACCAGAGGTAACTCATTTCCGGGTTTGAGGACAACAAGCTGACGAGCTCTATTGAGTCTTCACATAGGAATGAATGGTGTCACGTGATCGATGGCTTTGTCCATTCATATGCAGTCATTGGTCCTCACCCCAAAAGTAGACAGGTCTACAGATATAGGATGTTAATTTGACCAGTTTCTCATAGCAGGAAAATAATCCTGCAGCAACAGGAAATGTGAATTATTGTGTGGATTATAATTAATGGACAGTTTTGTAGGGGTTAATACATTTTTGTTAGAGCAAATCAAGTCTGAGATTTTTTAATGGAAATTACAAACTTAAGAAGCCTTTTTAAGCTTCGAATACACAACACGTTTGCATTTCCTGCTGTGCAGGACATTTCCTGCAACAACAGGGTGATCAAATTAAGATCCTACTTCTGTACTTCGATTGGGAGTGGTTGAATAAGTGACAAAAACACAGGACTCATCTAATCCAATTCATGCATACAGTGTTACAACAAAACCCTTTAGATAGGAGAAAGGCTGACTGCAGACTGAAACAGAAGGATCACAGTTCTTACATTGATCCTTGACTAAACAAAACACATTTTGAGGAAAAAAATTACTTAGTATTCTAAGCTATTGCAACAGTGACCAGGCGGCCAATAGGCAAAGACAATTTGTGATGTACTATATTGTAACTTCTATTCATGTGGCCATCATAGAGAGGTACAGTCATCTTAGAATAGATCTATGAATAGACACTCCTTCCTGTCTGGCCTGCTCAGCAAGGTGTGTCCATGCTCGAATACCAGTTATTCAACCCACTGTGGTGCATTTGTGGGAGGCAGTACAGGGAGGCAGTACATGTACGTCTCTCTGTGTGTGTGTTTCTGCATGAGTGTGTGTCTGCATGTGTTAACTCTGTTATTGGCTCCCTCCCGCCCTCTCTCTCTGTGTTTCTTAGTTTGAATGTTACCACAGTAATCTCCTGCTGATCCTTTCTGATAGGTGAGGTGCCGTTGCACAGGCAGAGCAACTTAGGTAGCCAGAGAGCACAGAACTGAGAAGGACAGAAGAGAACATCACCAACAAGAGAGAGAGAATGTTTTCCACCAGAGTAAGACACTAACAACACACTGAGAATAAAAGGAGGAACACAGGAAATAATGGATTTTGAGAGAAGAGAAAAGCAAATGCTCCAGAATGTGGAATGACCCAGTAGACACTCCGTACTGGTGAGAATATATGGACCTGGGGTTCTAATGTGGCCTCTGAGGCTCTGGGACGCACAGGAAGTCACTATTTTCCTCAGCCTCACATTGTATGTGTGCCACCTAGGTATGTATCCTACCCATACATGGAAACACTTCTGGAGCATGTATTCATAAATGGAAATACTGATTTGTATGTGTTTAAATGTGTGAGTGCTTGTGTGTTTAAGGGCATGCCTATGTTTGCCTCTGGGTGTATGATGTATGCCAAGCACATTCAGAATAATCTTTCTTCTGGTATCAGTTGACTAACTTTTAGTATTCCCCAACTTTGCTCTGATGTGGTTTGTACCGGTGTATCAGAATAATAGTACAGTTAGACACACAGTGGTTTGTTAATTCACCAAAACTTCGATAGGGACTGATGGTTTCATGTCATATCTCTGGCAGCCATAATGTTTCTCTGTCATTCTTTCCACGCTGTAACAAAATTATTTGTGCATGCTTCATCATGTGTACACACACACCTTTAGTTCTACTGGTGTGTCTGAGTCAGTAATTCACATTGATTGCAACACATCTTACATGATTAAACAACCGAAAGCAGGTGGCCATGTGGGCAATTCAAAACCAATCAATCAATCAATCAATCAAATGTATTTATAAAGCCCTTTTTACATCAGCAGAGTGCTTATACTGAAACCCAGCCTAAAACTCCAAAGCGCAAGCAATCCAGATTTAGAAGCATGGTGGCTAGGAAAAATTCCCTAGAAAGGCAGGAACCTAGAAAGAAACCTAGAGAGGAACCAGGCTCTGAGGAGTGGCCAGTCCTCTTTTGGCTGTGCCCGGTGGAGATTATAAGAGTACATGGCCATTTAGGCCAGATTGATCTTCAAGATGTTCAAATGTTCATAGATGACCAGCAGGGTCAAATAATAATCACAGTGGTTATAGAGGTTGCAACAGGTCAGCACCTCAGGAGTAAATGTCAGTTGGCTTTTCATAGCCAAGCATTCAGAGGTCGAGACAGCAGGTGCGGTAGCGAGAGAGAGACAGCGAAAGAGGGAGAGGGAGAGAGAGGGTCGAAACAGCAGTTCCGGAACAAGGTAGCACGTCCGGTGAACAGGTCAGGGTTCCATAGCCGCAGGCAGAACAGCAGAAATGAAGATCTCCCCCACCGCACGAGCCCAAGGGGGCGCAAAACCGGACAGGAAGATCACATCAGTGACTCATCCCACTCAAGTCGAGTATAGCGAAAAAAGCCTGGCACGATGTGATGCACCCCTCCAAGGGACAGCATGGGAGAGCACTAGCAAGCCAGTGATTTAGCCCCCATAATATGGTAAGAGGCAGAGAAACCCAGTGGAGAGAGGGGAGCTGGCCAGGCAGAGACAGCAAGGGGTGTTCATCACTCCAGTGCTTTGCAGTTCACCTTCGCACCCCTGGGCCAGACTACACTCAATTATATGACCTACTGAAGAGATGAGTCTTTAATAAAGAGTTAAAGGTTGAGACCAAGTCTGTCTCTCTCACATGGATCGGCAGACACTGCCTTGTTTAGTTTTGCCCAACCTAGATCGAGGCACAGACGGTCTCAATGGGGAAAACTGAGCTGACTACACTGACTGTGCTAGGAGCAGACTCCACTTATCTGTCAGGCTGGCTAACAGCCTGATGCCTGCACCCATCTCATTGTGGAGCTAGAGGAGTTAGAGTCCTGTCTATGTTGATAGATAAGATGAGAGCACCCCTCCAGCTAGGCTGGAGTCCGTCACTCCTCAGCAGGCCAGGCTTGGTCCTGTTTGTTGGTGAGTACCAGCAAGAGGGCCAGTTATCTACAAATTCTATATTTTGGGAGGGGCAGAAAACAGTTTGAGTTGTGCTAGTCTGCTGTAGAGCTCATCAATCCCCCTAGGAGGGGGCCAGAGACAATTACTCAATGCCAACACATCTTTCTAGCTAAGTTACACGCTGAAGTTATGTTGCGCTTGGTGACCTCTGACTGTTTCATCCTAACATCGTTGGTGCCGACATGGATAACAATATCCCTATACCATCTACACTCGCCAGTTTTAGCCTCAGCCAGTACCATCTTCAGATTAGCCTTTACGTCGGTAGCCCTGCCCCCTGGTAAACGATGTATGATCGCTGGATGATTATTTTTAAGTCTAATATTGCGGTTAGTGGAGTCGCCAATGACTAGGGTTTTCAATTTGTCCGAGCTAATGGTGGGAGACTTCGGCGGCTCAGACCACGTAACTTGTGGAGGAGAGACCTGGAAAGGCTCGGGCTCTGACTCCGACTCGTTGCTTAGTGGGGAAAACCAGTTGAAAGTTTCTATCGGCTGTATGAGCGACACTGGTTGAGCATGCCGACAGCATTTCTTTCAAGAAGCCATCAGCTTGTTTGGCAGGTTTCAAGCAAGACAATCTAAGAACAATCTGTTATTAAAGAGAGTGACACAGAAGGAACACAGTACCTGGAAGAACCTGTTCTATATTATACATTTTTTAAATTCCTAACATCTTACCAAGACTGACTTGGAAACAACTTTAGACTTTTAGGCGTGCCCATCATTGACGACCTGGAATCTGGAATGGTCCCTTCACACAGACAGTGTGGTGAAGAAGGCGCAAAAGCGTCTCTTCAACCACAGGAGGCTGAAGAAATTCTGCTTGGCCCCTAAGACCCTCACAAACTTCTACAGATGCACCATTGAGAGCATCCTGTTGGGCTGTATCACCGCCTGTTACAGCAATTGCACCATCTGCAACAGCCCAATGCATCACCGGGGACAAACTGCCTGCCCTCCAGGACATCTACAGCACCTGGTGTCACAGGAAGGCCATGAAGGACCTCAGCCACCCGAGCCATGGCCATTTCACCCCGCTACCATCTAGAAGGCGGAGACAGTACAGGTGCATCTGATAAACAGCTTTTATCTCCAGGCCATCAGACAGTTAAACAGTCACCACTAGCCGGCCTCTGCCCAGTACCCTGCCCTGAACCTTAGTCACTGTTACTAGCAGGCTACCACCTGGTACTCAATCCTGCACCTTAGAAGAAAGCTGCCCAATGTACATAGTCATTGAACACTGGTCACTTTAATAATGTTTACATACTGTACTGTTTTACCCACTTTATATATACAGTGCCTTCGGAAAGTATTCAGACCCCTTGACTTTTTCCACATTTTGTTACGTTACAGCCTTATTCAAATTTTATTTTTATTGTTTTATGTTCCTCATCAATCTACAAACAATACCTCATAATGACAAAGCGAAAACAGGTTTTTAGACATTTTTGCAAATGTATTAAAAATAAAAACCAGAAATACTTTATTTACATAAGATTAAGACCCTGCTATGAGACTCGAAATTGAGTTCAGGTGCATCCTGTTTCCATTGATCATCCTTGAGATGTTTCTACAACTTGATTGTAGTCCACCTGTGGTAAATTCAATTGATTGGACAGGATTTGGAAAGGCACACACACCTATCTATATAAGGTCCCATAGTTGACAGTGCATGTCAGAGCAAAGACCAAGCCATGAGGTTGAAGGAATTGTCCATAGAGCTCCAAGACAGGATTGTGTCGAGGCACAGATCTGGGGAAGGGTACCAAAAAATGTCTGCAGCATTAAAGGTCTCCAAGAACACAGTGACCTCCATAATTCTTAAATGGAAGAAGTTTGGAACCACCAAGACTCTTCCTAGAGCTGGCCGCCCTCCCAAACTGAGCAATCGGGGGAGAAGGGCCTTGGTCAGGGAGGTGACCAAGAACCCTATGGTCACTCTGATAGAGCTCCAGAGTTCCTCTGTGGAAATGGGTGAACCTTCCAGAAGGACGACCATCTCTGCAGCACTCCACCAATCAGGCCTTTATGGTACAGAAGCCACTCTCCAGTAAAAGGCACATGACAGCCCGCTTGGGAGTTTACCAAAAGGCACCTAAAGGACTCTCAGACCATGAGAAACAAGATTCTCTTGTCTGATGAAACCAAGATTGAACTCTTTGGCCTGAATGCCAAGCGTCATGTCTGGAGGAAACCTGGCACCATCCCGAAGCATGGTGGTGGCAGCATCATGCTGTGGGGATGTTTTTCAGCGGCAGGGACTTGGAGACTAGTCAGGATCGAGGGAAAGATGAATGGAGAAAAGTACAGAGAGATCCTTGATGAAAACCTGCTCCAGAGCCCTCAGGACCTCCAGACTGGGGCGAAGGTTCACTTTCCATCAGGACAACAACCCTAAGCACACAGCCAAGACAACGCAGGAGTGGCGATCGGGACAAGCCTCTGAATGTCCTTCAGTGGCCCAGACAGAGCCCGGACTTGAACCCGTTCAAACATCTATTGGAGAGACCTGAAAATAGCTGTGCAGCAACGCTCCCCATCCAACCTGACAGAGCTTGAGAAAATCTGCAGAGAAGAATGGGAGAAACTCCCCAAATACAGGTGTGCCAAGCTTGTAGCGTCATACACAAGAAGACTCCAGGCTGTAATCGCTGACAAAGGTGCTTCAACAAAGTACTGAGTAAAGGGTCTTAATACTTATGTAAATGTGATATTTCAGTTTTTTTTTTTATATACTACCGGTCAAACATTTTAGAACACCTACTCATTCAAGGGTTTTTCTTTATTTTTACTATTTTCTACATTGTAGAATAATAGTGAAGACATCAAAACTATTAAATTACGCATATGCACTCATGTAGTAACCAAAAAAGTGTTAAACAAATCAAAATATAATTTATATTTGAGATTCTTCAAATAGCCATCCTTTGCCTTGATGACAGCTTTGCACACTCCTGGCATTCACTCAACCAGCTTCATGAGGTAGTCACCTGGAATGCATTTCAATTAACAGGTGTGCCTTCTTAAAAGTTAATTTGTAGAATTTCTTTCCTTCTTAATGCGTTTGAGCCAATCAGTTGTGTTGTGACAAGGTAGGGGGGGTATACAGAAGATAGCCCCATTTGGTAAAATACAAAATCCATATTATGGCAAGAACAGCTCAAATAAGCAAAGAGAAACAACAGTCCATCATTACTTTAAGACATGAAGGTCAGTCAGTACGGAACATTTCAAGAACTTGAAAGTTTCTTCAAGTGCAGTCACAAAAACCATCAAGCGCTATGATGAAACTGGCTCTCATGAGGACCGCCACAGGAATGGAAGTCCCAGAGTTATTTCTGCTGCAGAGGATAAGTTCATTAGAGTTACCAGCCTCAGAATTGCAGCCCAAATAAATGCTTCAAAGTTCAAGTAACAGACACATCTCAACATCAACTGTTCAGGGGAGACTGTGTGAATCTGGCCTTCATGGTCGAATTGCTGCAAAGAAACCACTACTAAAGGACACCAATAAGAAGAAGAGACCTGCTTGGGCCAAGAAACACGAGCAATGGGCATTAGACCAGTGGAAATTTGTCCTTTGGTCTGGAGTCCAAATTGGAGATTTTTGGTTCCAACTGCCGTGGCTTTGTGAGATGCGGTGTGGGTGAACGGGTGATCTCTGCATGTGTATTTCCCACCGTAAAGCATGGAGGAGGAGGTGTTATGGTGTGGGGGTGCTTTGCTGGTGACCACTGTCTGTGATTTATTTAGAATTCAAGTCACACAGCATTCTGCAGCATTCTGCAGCGATACGCCATCCCATCTGGTTTGGGCTTAGCGGAGCTATCATTTGTTTTTCAACAGGACAATGACCCGACACATCTCCAGGCTGTGTAAGGGCTATTTGACCAAGAAGGAGAGTGATGGAGTGCTGCATCAGATGACCTGGCCTCCAAAATCCCCCGACCTCAACCAAATTGAGATGGTTTGGGATGAGTCGGACCGCAGAGTGAAGGAAATGCAGCCAACAAGTGCTCAGCATATGTGGGAACTCCTTCAAGACTGTTGGAAAAGCATTCCAGGTGAAGCTGGTTGAGAGAATGCCAAGCGTGTGCAAAGCTGTCATCAAGAAAAAGGGTGGCTATTTGAAGAATCTCAAATATAAAAATATATTTTGATTTGTTTAACACTTTTTTTGGTTAGTTCATGATTCCATATGTGTTATTTCATAGTTTTGATGTCTTCACTATTATTCTACAATGTAGAAAATAGTAAAAATAAAGAAAAACCCTTGAATGAGTAGGTGTTGTAAAACCTTTGACCGGTAGTGTATGTTTGCAAAATTAAATTGTTTTTCCTTTATCATTATGGGGTATTGTGTTCAGATTGATGAGGGGGACATTTTTTAATTTTAATTTTAATTTAATCCATTTTAGAATAAGGCTGTAACGTAACAAAATGTGGAAAATATCAAGGGGTCTAAATACTTTCCGAATTGATTGTATATACTGTATTCTAGTCATGGTTCATCCTATATACCGTAACTACTGCTGTACACACCTTTTCTATTCATATACTGTCCATTCGCACGTTATTTTTGTATATATATATATTCCGGACTCAGACATTGCTCGTTCTGATATTACTTAATTTATTTCTTTTTACTTTTTGGATTATGTGTGTATTGTTTTATATTGGTAGGTATTACTGCACTGTTGGAGCTTCAACAACAAGCATTTCGCTGCACCTGCGATAACATCTGCAAATCTTTGTACGCAATCAATCAACTTTGAGATGAGCGAAGAGCTAGAATCACATGCCAATGAGCCATCTCAAAGTAATTTGATGACAGCAACCCCATCATACAGTATGAAATAGGCCAATATAAATGTAAAAGTCTGTGTTTTTTATAGGATAATATGTTATGTAATGTCTTTTGTGGAACTGAAAACATTCTGTCTTTTGTGGAGAGGTTGAATATTAACTGGTGTTTTTGTAAGGGAGTAGGGGAAAGGGTGGGTATTTGTATTGTCCAGAACTGAGGGGCTAATTGTGCAACAAACAAAAAAAGCCAAGGCAAGTGGGTTTGAGTCAGTACAGGAGTCAGTAAGTTACTATGGTGATAACATGTCAATAACACATCAGTTTGTGGGTCATAATATGTTGATTTATCTGATTCTAAAACACAAATCAGATATCAGGTTCTCTCTATCTATCATACATTAACCACCACTGTTCCTCTCTCTTTCCCTTTCTCCCTCCACTATGTTCTTCCTCTGGCAGCTGGAGCCATCTCGATACGGTCTCTTCAGCAGAGTCTGACCAGGCCTGTCCAACAGGATGTATTGTTCTCTGTGGACATCTCCTGTGTTGGAACTCCCACCATACAGTGGACCTTTATGTCTGGCAGGGTGAGCAGAAACATTGGGGCCTGGCAACCTGGTGGGTATACCAATGTATCAGAGGACTACATGGACAGAGTCCACACATACACTAATGGATCTATGGGACTGTCGGACCTACGTATTCAGGACGCCGGCTTCTACGTGATCACTGTGACTGAACCGTCTGGGAAGCAGCAAAGATGAAGGATTTGTCTTGAAGGTGGAAGGTGAGTGAATAGTGGGGGCAGGCCTGTATCACAATGTGGCATTTTGCTTTAGGCTACAGTGTTAGTGTTTCATCATAGCTGACATTTACAAGAACCCCTTTATGGAACTGTTTTCTTCTCAGTCCTGGAGACAGTTTCTGTAGCGGCCTTATGGTGTTATTGAACAGTATCTTTACGAGTAGTTCAAGTGACCTTCATTTATGAGTAAGCTAGTTTAGTGGAAGTGAGAATTAACATTGTGTGTTCTCCCTCCCTGTGTGGTAGAGGTTCTGTATGAGGACCTCCAGTACCTGTCAGTGTTAGCTGTAGTGCTGGCCTCCCTGGCTGGCTTTCTCATGGTCTCCATGTGGCTCATGGACAAAGCCTACTGCCGGATCAAGGCATGGAGACAGAGGAGACAGATGCCAGGTAAATACTTTTAGAATGCTTTTGGTGTAATAGATACATCTAGTAATTAAACGACTCAAGTTTGATTGTTCTTGTGTCATTGAATTTCTAATTTTTTTTCTCTCCAGAGAATTATGTAACTGAGCTGCAACCTCTCTGATATGAAGATCTATGACAGCCAGATGACACTGCCCAACAACCAATCTGAGCTAAGATTAAAGAGACATTTTATAAATCAATGAAAGCATCCACAGCGTGTAAATATCACCAAGTTACTGATTCCAGGAACAGATGAAGGATTGTCAACCTACGTGCCTCAAGACTAGCTGCATGTATTATTTTACTGTACATGAAAACTGTAGACACAACAGCTGATATTAGTCCATGCTATTTTATGTAAAGAAACACACTGACAAGTGGAAACAAATGATACATTTATTTTCACAGCTGAGTTTCTTTTACTGTAACAACATTTAATATATATTTTTACATCGACACGGGTAAGTCAAATGTCCAAGCAAATCTACGAACATCAATGCATGATTTCCACAAAAGTGGATCAAGTTAGGATTCAGCACACAGAAAAAAATCTGAGACAGCAAGAGAGAGTGTGTGTGATAGTGGTCAGACCTAAGGACAGGGAGTGAGGGCAGCCATGAGAAGCTCCATCTTGTAGACAAAGTTGCGTCCTTCCATCTTACTCCAGTGGACCTCCTTGTAGGGCCCTCGCAGGTGGTTCCACTTCCCATCCTGGATGACGTCAGACTTGGGCAGCTCCTTGCTCTGGCTGCGTGGGAACTGGACCAGGACCTTACAGCCGCTCTCTGGACCATTACGCACTGGAGAAGATACAACACATTAATTTGGACAAAAATTACTGTTATACATTTCAGTCATTCAGATCATTATATTAGTTTTCGGACTAAATTAGTTGTTTAAGGTGAATGACATCCAATATACCAGATAGATAGATTGAAGACGGTACCGGAGATGGCGTATTCCCCGTTGGAGGAGGCGACGGTGATGGCCGAGGCGTTTCCGATGCTCTCCACAGAGCCCAGGCCCACATGGTTACTGAAGCTCAGAACATGCCAACCCATCACCTTAGCCAGCTGCTGTACCGCATGGACCTGGTGCTGAGACATCTGTAGTACCAGGGGACAGACACAGGGGGACACTTACTCACACTAGTTCAGACAGGCAGCTACAAAAAGGCTACTTCAATACTTTGAAATGGATTTGAATACAAGTTTCCCTGGAGCAATAGGCCAAGTGAAGAACTAGGTCTAGCAAATGTTATGCACTTTAGAACATACAGGAAGCATTTTAGGTGGCTTCTAGCTATACTTGAGTGTAATACAGGGTACATAAACAGCAGTTGGCGGTGATGTGAGAGCAGTCAGTGTGTCCCCCGACCTGGGAGAGGAGGAAGTCCTGCAGCTCCTGTTCCTGGTGAGAGAGGGTGATGACACGGCCGTCCCTGTGCACCACTCGGATCTGCTCAACCCCTATGTTCAGCTGCAGCTGGATAGACCTGCACACACCCACACAGAAGGTTATGGAAAAAAATGTATCCATGGTAAATTTTTTGCTAGACAATACTTTTGACTTTTACCGAACATTGAAAAAGCTGAATAATTGCCCAATAAAATTGGTGGTAATTCATTAAGGCGAAACCTCTTCTTCTGTTGTTAGATCATGGAACCTACCTTTTTCCTTTTAAATCATTCTCCACTCTCACCATATGTTCTATTCTAGAGGGTATGTTGACACTTCCTGGGCCAGAAGTCAATTCTCTGAACACTGTCCTGTAAACCATGTATAAAGAGTACTCTGCATCTGTTGCTCTGGCCTAGCCAGTCCTCCTGGCTTTGACAGTACTCTGCCTCTGTTGCTCTGGCTTGGCCAGTCCTCCTGGCTCCTGCTCCACTTACTTGCAGATCTGCTCGTAACCCTGGGAGGTGATGAGGACTTTGACACTGGACTCGTACACATCGTTGATGTTGGACCAGTGGGCCTGGATCTGGGGGTCTTCTATACGGCTGGCCAGGCTGTCGATGGTCCGCGCCGTCCTGAAACAGACACGAGGGGTGGACTTGCAGTCAATGTTGAGTTGCTGTCCTGTAAAATTCTAATTCAGTAACATATTGGTCTCATTGTGCAAACATTTTTCTGATTTGTGATTTGACAAAAACGTTAAGGGTGCTTTGAGTGAAACAAAAAGCCTGACAGAAGAATATTATAAAAAATAAAATAAAAATACAGTATGACAGTATTAGGTTATTATTGATGTGTGATGTGGTGTGTGTTTGTGCCTACCTGCTGCGTAGGAAGATGTGTTTGGCCTGTTTGATGATCTTCTCCAGTAGGCCCTCATTCTGCTGCAGGTTGGAGATCTCAGCCTTGTCGTATGCCATGGGCCCCGCCATACGCTGCCTCTTGTGGCCAAAGGGGGCGCTAGCCGGATGGGGCATCACTATCGAACTCAGGGTCTGCTTGTGGAACTGTGGGAGGGAGGGAGGGGCATTTATATTGATCAATATGTATCACAGTTCATACAATCAGCAGTGATACACACGTGAATATGTATACGATTTTTAAAAACATGGGGGACTTAGTTTGGTCAGTATTTGTCTGAATACGTTTTTGGTCAACAATATAATTACTAGATGGTCAGGTTTAATAGAGTTCCATAATTTTCTACCCAGACAGACAGGCAGACCCACCTCTCTCATGAGCTGGTGCAGGTTGTGTTCTAAAACGTAGAGGTGGTCGTCAGGTTTGGGTTTCTCTGGCGACGCCCTCTGGTTCTTCTTCTCTCCAGTGGAGTGACACAGAGAAATGGACAACTGGAGACCTGTAGGGAGGATAGACAACCTTAATAGTGGTGTAATACAGAAATCTCCTAGAGTAGGACTCTGCACACCTGACGAGGGGTGAATAACAGCAAAATAACAGCCAAAGCATCTCTGGACACTTAGAACGTACTACTCTAGGTAACACAGACAAAGAAAAACATGTCAAATGCATTGATTTTGCAAAATGCATGGTTCATGGAGTATTAACTTTCCATAGGCTATAATAACCCTCCAAAAAGCATTGTGAAGGGTCCTCACCTGGGAAGGGTTGAGAGATGATCTGGTTCTTTACTACAATGTGGGGGATCTGGGACTTGATCTGAACCGCCTCCCGGGACAGCTGGGCGAAGATCTCCTTACAGAGCAGCACGTTCTGAGCAGCTTCCAGTTTCACATGCCACGGCTGAGTGCCCGCTTTAGCTTTAGGCTGCCTCCTGAACAGGCTCACTGACCCTAGGTCACCTATGTCAGGGGCTTGTTTCTGGATTGAAACCTGGAAGACAACACACCACAATGTTTAAGAGGTCAGGCCGAACATCAGCATTATCACAATGAGGTATGTTCTCTGAGCAGTCTCTATTCACTTTGATGTAAGCTGATCCCTCCAGATCACTGGGGATCTGGACATTCAGTGGACAGTAATCCTCTGGGAGCTTCTTGTCCAGGTCGATGTCTGTGTTCTTTATCACCTCAAAGGTGCCAGCATGAGGAAACAAAGATCCTGCAGAGAGAGACATGGCATTAGAAATTAGCTATATAATGTCAGAAAAACAATGAATGTGCAGAAGGTGGTAAATACTGCAATGACACTAAATTAGACATTTGAGGAGAGTTAAAGCCTCCATACCTGCACTCCTGTAGCTGAGGTCTCCCAGGATCTTGTCTCCTACTTTGCGTAGTTTCCACTGCGAGCGGAGGCGCAGCAGCTCTGAGTTGAAGTCCCTCTGTCTCCTGTTCTCCTGGTTCTCTGCCACTGACTTACTTAGTTTATCTGCCCCCTTCAGGAGCAGCTGAGCCGCTGTGGCCAAAGACTTCTTCTTACTGATGAGCTGGAACACCTGGGGCGTCTAGAGTAAAGAGTGAGGTAGGGAGTGGGGAGGTCAGGGGAGAGAGAGTGAGGTCATAGGTACAGTGCCTTCGGAAAGTATTCAGACCCCTTCACTTTTTCCACTTTGTTAGGTTACAGCCTTATTCTAAAATGTATTACATTGTTTTTTCCCCTCATCAACCTACACACAATACCCCATAATGACAAAGCAAAAACAGGTGTTTATAAATGTTAGCACATTTATAAAAATAAAAAAAAGGTGAAATATAACACTTACATAAGTATTCAGACCCTTTACTCAGTACTTTGTTGAAGCACCTTTGGCAGCGATTACAGCCTCGAGGCTTCTTGGGTATGACGCTCCAAGCTTGGCACACCTGCATTTGGGGAGTTTCTCCCATTCTTCTCTGCAGATCCTCTCAAGCTATGTCAGGTTGGATGGGGAGCGTTGATGCACAGCTATTTTCAGGTCTCTCCAGAGATGTTAGATCGGGTTCAAGTCCGGGCTCTGGCTGGGCCACTCAAGGACATTCAGAGACTTGTCCCGAAGCCACTCCTGCGTTGTCTTGGCTGTGTGCTTAGGGTCGTTATCCTGTTGGAAGGTGAAACTTCGCCCCAGTCTGAGGTCCTGAGCAGGTTTTCATTAAGGAGCTCTCTGTACTTTGCTCCGATCCCGACTAGTCTCCCAGTCCCTGCCGCTGAAAAACATCCCCACAGCATGATGCTGCCACCACCATGCTTCACCGTAGGGATGGTGCCAGGTTTCCTCCAGATGTGACGCTTGGCATTCAGGCCAAATAGTTCAATCTTGTTTCTAAATTGTCTGAGAGTCTTTAAGGTGCCTTTTGGCAAACTCCAAGCGGGCTGTCATGTGCCTTTTACTGAGGAGTGGCTTCCGTCTGACCGCTTTACCATAAAGGCCTGATTGGTGGAGTGCTGCAGAGATGGTTGTCCTTCTGGAAGGTTCTAACATCCCCACAGAGGAACTCTAGAGCTCTGTTAGAGTGACCATCGGGTTCTTGGTCACCTCCCTGCCCAAGGCCCTTCTCCCTGGATTGCTCAGTTTGGCCGGGCGGCCAGCTCTAGGAAGAGTCTCGGTGGTTCCAAACTTCTTCCATTTAGGAATGATGGAGGCCACTGTGTTCTTGGGGACCTATAATGCTGCAGAAATTTTTTGGTACCCTTCCCCAGATCTCTGCCTCGACACAATCCTGTCTCTGAGCTCTACGGACAATTCCTTCGACCTCATGGCTTGGTTTTTGCTCTGACATGCACTGTCAACTGTCGGACCTTATATAGACAGGTGTGTGTGCCTTTCCAAATCATGTCCAATCAATTGAATTTACCACAGGTGGACTCCAATCAAGTTGTACAAACATCTCAAGGATGATCAATGGAAACAGGATGCACCTGAGCTCAATTTCGAGTCTCATAGCAAAGGGTCTGAATACTTATGTAAATAAAGTATCTCTGTTTTTTGTTTACTATAAATTTGCAAAAACCTGTTTTCGCTTTGTCATTATGGGGTATTGTGTGTAGATTGCTGAGGATTGTTTTATTTATTTAATCCATTTTAGAAGGCTGTAACGTAACAAAATGTGGAAAAAGTCAATGGGTGAATACTTTCTGAAGGGACTGTCAAATAGTCCAAAGTGGCTTCATTTCCTTCACTTGCAGTGACCTCAAAACACAGGATAGGTAAAAGTAAGCAATATGTTGGATGTGTATTGTGTACCAGGAATTTGCTTTCATTATCAGTTTAGTTCTTCCACATCAGTGGAAATGAAGACAGAATGAAGAATGAACCACTTAAGACTATTGATATGCATTGAAAGGTCCTGCGTAAAGACACTTAGCTAGGCCTACCTTTCCGGCTGAGGGGTCCTGGGACACTGGGTCCAGGGCCATGTACTTCTTCTCCTTGACTACGCTGAGGACGTCGTATAGCACACACATCTCTGTCAGGGAGCTGCGCAGGTTGTTACGCACAGAGTCCCAGGGCCACAAGGACGGCTGGAATTTTACAGTGGCTGGAAGAAGAAGGAGCAAGTATCAATCAACCATTCTGTTCAGACCAACTCCCAACAGGGCGCTTAATAGAAATCCTAAGTGTTGCTTCAGATTTGGGCCGGGACCATACCAGTATCGCAATACTCGTTAGTATCGTGGCAAGGAAACAAAACACAAAGCGGATTTAACTTTTTTAGGAAAACAGCCCTAATGTTGGAAACAAATGTCATTACGTTGTCACCCAGTCACATGTATTTATTTTCCAAGCTATAGCACACAATGTTTTACAGACAGCAGGTTTTCAAAGGACCAAAGAGTTAGATCTGCTTTGTGTTTTCATTTTTGCCATGGAAAAATATATTGTACTATTGGGATCATCAGATGTCTATCAGATGATGTCAGGTTTTCGATAATAACTCTCCAAGGCAGAAATAATCACTTTACAGTCAATTAATGAAACTGGAGTAGCAAAACACTGAATGTGTCAGTGGGGTGACATACTTTCATCCTCTTCTGGCTCTTGCTTCCCCCACTCCTGGGGGTCCCTGGGCTCTGTTTCCGTCCCCTCTTCATCGGAGTCTGATCCCTGGCCAAAGTCGATCCTTTGGGCTAGCTTGGCCAGGTTCTGGGACATGGACAAGGGAGGGACATACGTCTCCATGCCATCCAGAGACACCTCCTGGACCTGCTTTTCGCAGGACGACTCGATGCTGACACGCACTGCTGGACCACCACCCGACATGACGATGACGAAGAGGAGTCACACCTAAAACACACAAAACCATTCTAATCACTACATTTTATCCACCATAACTATGACCACAGACCAGGGCAAGTTTAGACAAATAAGGAGCTAGCTAAAAAGACTACAGCTAGCCATGTAGCAAATATAGTTGCCTAATTTAGCTAGTTGGCAATGAGTGATGCTAGACATTGTCACATACTGTAGCTAGCTAAATTAACTTTAGCATTGGCTAACAACAGACAGCTAGCTAAACAAAGCAAGCAAGCCAGTCCGCTGTATAAAATCCAGCTCCCTAATGCACATACAATTAGCTAGACGTGGAATACAAATGATGGAATACAACATTTTTTCAACAGAATGTGAGATAGATAGCTAGCTAGATAGAAATACAGTTTACCGTTAAGAAAAAGCGACTTTTGCAATGACTTCTTCGTGTGTACTGTCCTGCATAACTAGCACTGGTCGTGGGCTATGCTGCCACCTACAGTGCATATTAGTGTACAATATGGGTACGTTCAAGAAAGGCATTGCATGGGGCACGTGTGTTCAGGCAATTTTGTGTTTAATAACAGATAAAGGAAACAATTTAATCAAGTATTTTTTTATTAAAGGTCCAATGCAGCCGTTTTTATCTCAATATCAAATCAAAGTACATTTTCTCTCAATAAATAAGATATCAGCAAAGTCAGAGCTAGTAAGGGGGAAAAAAGTCAAGTGCGAGTGCTGGTTCACCAAAGGCATTTTGGGGGCGGGGTGAGGAGGGGGTGCGGTGGGATTATTTAAAATACTTTGAAGAGGTAGGGTTTCAGATGTTTTCGGAAGATGGGTAGGGACTCTGCTGTTCTAGCTTCAGGGGGGTTAGCTGGTTCCACCATTGGGGTGCCAGAACAGAGAAGAGCTTGGACTGGGCTGAGCGGGTGCTGCCCTCCCGTAGGGGTGGGAGGGCCATGAGACCAGAGGTGGCAGAACGGAGTGCTCGGGTTGGGGTGTAGGGTTTGAGCATCGCCTGAAGGTAGGGAGGGGCAGTTCTTCTTGCTGCTCCGTAGGCAAGTACCATGGTCTTGTAGTGGAAGAGTAATTTCTCAAGCAAGAATTTTGCTAGGACTGTCTGGGAGTGGTCTGAGTGGGGAGGGGAACATTTTAAACTAGCTGTTATTGGCAGAGAGGGTTGGAACTCTCTTTTTTATTGGTCTATTAAATAATTTACCACCTGATGATGTCACCAGGCAGGCCAATACTCCATCCCACCAAAACAGGCTGACATTTTAAATAAATAAATATTTCAGGTTATCTTTTCAAATACTTGTACTAAAAGTGCATTATCATCAATTTCATAATATTATTCCAACCTCATAGAATGGAAAAATATATATAACACAGGAAAATCACGTTTTTGACTGCACTGGTAATTTAAACAGGTATTTCAACAGCAATGCAGTAACAGATAAATTACGTTGCATGCATTTCTAAGGCTGTGTTTAGACAGGCAGCCCAATTCTGATTTGCTTCACTAATTGGTCTTTTGACTAATAAGATCAGCTCTGAAAAATACAAATTAATGGAAAAATATCAGAATTGGGCTGCTGGTCATGGTGGATGTGGAACGCATCCAATCACGTGATTTAGCGGGCAGTTAAAAATGCAGGAAGTGACGTTTGACGACGAATTTACGCTTTTACACGTTGGCATGGATTTAGGATAAGAAACAACGCTTTTGAAGAGTATTTTGAAACGCTTTTAAACGTTAGCTACTTCAAATTAGCAGAGTGTTTTGTTTATTTGTTTAGCTAATGCATCAACAAGATTTAAAACAATTTAGATTACGAAAACGTGCAATCGGGGATATTTGTTCTGCTCTGAAGTTTCTGGTGCTAGCTTAGCACAACTGGCTGGCCTTTGTTTTTCATGTGTGTTTTTCAGCCAGTACTGTTGACCAGCTAACTAATCATTTCGCCTGTCAACATCCCTGGATGTTCTAAAGATGAAGAGAAAAGTGGCTAGATTACGGTTAAGTCCAAATGAAGAAGCTCAACTCATTCGAGAGGAACACAAAAGGAGAAGGAAGCTGCGAATACAACAGGTAACGTATACAGTAGCTAACGGCTAACTAGCTAGCTAGCAAACACTCGCTGTCAGTGACAGTCCCTACATCCTGCCAATGCATAAACTGCCAAGTGAGGATCATTAACTAACACACTCTCACAGGTGCGGGAACAGGAGCGGTATATCGCCCTGCAAATCCGCACGGAGGTGCAGCACCGACGGGAGCGCGAGCTGCAGAACCTGGCGGAGGAGAGGAAGGAGGAGTGGGAGCGACAGCAGAGGAAGAAACTGGAGACCCTGCAAAAGTTATACCAGGACAATCTCCGAGTTTTGGGAGAGGGACATAGAAGTGCCAAAGAAAATGTAAACACTCAACTCTCAACCCATGTCTTAGCAATGTGTGATACATTGCAGACTGCCAGTGTAACGTTACTGGGTTTTGTTAGAATATTTAAGCAACTTGGGTCATGCCCCAGATCACGTTACTTCACTATACAACTGGTTGATTAAGGAACACTAAATGTTTCCCCAGGAGCTTGACTGGGAGGCAATTGCACAGAAAAATTAGGAGAATGACGTTCGGGCAGATGAGCGCTATCGAGACGCCCTCAAAGAGCTCAAATCACAGAGACAGAAAGCGCAGGAGGAACAAAATCGGTGAGCCTATCAACTGGATTTTATTTGGTCAAACAAACATGGATTATTACTTTGTTTGATATTAAATCTGGATGTTTTTCTTCTCCCCACAATTTTATTGAGGCTAGGAAGAAGGCCATACAGGTGGAGAAGGAGAGGGCAGCAAAAGTGGCCAACCTCCCATCCCTTCCACCCAACCCAATTGAGGTACAATTCATGTTTAGGAATCGGCACATTGTGATCTATGGTCCTACCAGTAACGAGTTGTATTATGAGCCTGTAGGTTTAGGATGGAAAGTACATAATCTGCAGTGTGAAACAATGGAATATAGAACTCTCCTTCCAAAACGACATAACATTCTAAAAGCACACATTTAACAGTATTCTATTATAGTATGAGCAAACAGCAGTCTGACTAGGGCTTATCAAAACAATACCAGAAAATATATTCTCAAATGTTTGTGCATTTTATTTTATTATTAACAGAATGTTGAGTCAAGGAAGCTGCCAGCAGTGAAGAAATCAGACGTGGATGCCTTCTCTGTGACCCACTATCACATGCCAGAGACTGCAGTGGACAGGGAAGTCGAAACAGCACAGGTAATCTACTCTTTCAAAGCTAAAATAATAATAATAATATAATAATATGCCATTTAGCAGACGCTTTTATCCAAAGCGACTTACAGTCGTGCGTGCATACATTTTTGTGTATGGGTGGTCCCGGGGATCGAACCCACTACCTTGGCGTTACAAGCGCCGTGCTCTACCAGCTGAGCTACAGAGGACCACCTAAAAAATATGCAATGGCCCAGTGTGATATTGTCCTCTTTCTAATGTAACCGGTGTGTTTTGTTCCCTCAGCCAAAGGCATGGGAGGTGGCAGAGGAGGAGGCGCGGCACCTGCAGGAGCTAGGGCAGGAGGAGCAGAGGGAGAGACAGGAGCAGCTGGAGAAGGCTCATCTTAGGGGCAATAACGCGCTGAGGAGGGAACAGCTCACACAGGTACATACTGCTACACAGCCACACTCACCTTGTTGAAGACTATTCAAGTGATAACATGTACAAGGTTAATGTACAACTTTCTGCATAGCGAGGCTAAATCTGTCCTGAGCTGTTAAATGAATGCCTGAAATCCTTTGAATACATATTGTATGCGTCAAGGCCAAGACAATAGCAATACGTATGTTTGTTTCTGCTGTGTCAGGACCGAGAGCACCTCCTGGTAGAGCTGGAACACATGCATCAGACAGACCTGTTGAGACACAGGCAGGTGATGGCTCAGATGCCTGCCCAGATCTTCCAGCTGCTCTACAAGAGACAGGAGATGAGGGAGGACTGGCAGAGGGACATGGAGTTCGCCTTTGAGGACATGTACACTGGGGAGAGGAGTAAGTAGGGGGGGGGGGGGGGGGGGTCCAAATCAGGATTCATTTTTCAGTCCTCTACTCTGGCCCTGACTACACAATTTGTTGGTATTGCCCTGGTGCGTAGATAAGTTGTTTTACTTGATTGATAGACATTGACCCTATCCCAGACAGAGTAGTGTGGACACACATATCATTATGGCACCTAATTATCATATCATTATGGCACCTAATTACCATTAGTACGTTGGAGTGGAGTTTCTCTATTCGTCTAATTAAACCTCTACCGATCTCTTGCCTGCAGGAGTGAAAGGTGACCTGGTGCTGCAGCTGGTTCCAGAGCCTCTCCCAGCCCTGTCCACTGGCAGCCAGGATGAAGACCTGACCCTGGAGGAGGCCACTCCTGACCTTACTCCCTCGGCTGGGGCAGTGGAACAACAGGAGGAAGGTGAAGAGATGGATGACTTTCTGATGTTGGCCTCAGTCAGTAATTCAAACATTAATCAAAGATAATCAGAGTATGACCATAGTGTTGTCAAAAAGGTTATGTGTAAACTGTAATAAATGGAGTGCACAAAATAAACAATTGTTTTGTCTTTCATGGTAGAACCATCCAGGCCTCTAGGTGGCGCTCCCAGACAGGCCTTGAAGAAACTACTGACTCGCATCAGGTCACAGAGAGACCAGTGGAGCTACCGGAGGCTGGTTGACACCCCGTCTGACCGACAAACTATTCATACAGCAGAGCGTGACACGACCGCAGACGGTACGACCATTGAGACAGGCTCTCTGGCCAGCGAGGAGCGGGGCCGACCGTTGACCACTAGTCCCAGACTCCCTGACCCCTCTCAGCCAGCCCAAGGTTAGTGAGTCCTTAGTAGACCGTATTGATTTGCTGCCACACGTTGAAGAGTCAAGGGAAGCATTGATTGAGAAAATAAAGTCCCAGTGTTTGTTTGATTATCCATTTAGTGTATTTTATCTGATCAGCTATAGAGACAACAGAGGAGTCCATAGTGGCTGGTACCCTGCTCCATCCTGATAAACAAGCCATCAAGATCCACACATTCAAAACTGAGAGGAAGAGAAGGGTGTGTGTCTTTCTATCTGTGTATTCATGCATGTCTATAACATATCTGTGTAATATTTCTGTCTTGAGTGGGGATGTGTAAAAAAAGTGAATGTATTTACCTTTCTGAGAAAGTGTCTCTAAAGCTGAAAGCTCATAGTTTGCCCTGTGGTTGCCTCTGTTTTCCAGGAGGATGAGCTGGAGAAGCAGAAGCAGGAGCAGATAGCCCTGCTACAGGACTTGGAGGAGAAGAAGAGCAGGTTGGAGCTGCTGCTGCTGCAGGAGGCCCAGGGAGAGCGAGAGCAGCTGCAGACGGCCGTGACTCAGGACACTGCTGCTGCATCTGGAACACAGAAAACACCAGCCAAGGACGTCAGCCCTGCTGCTCCAACTCCCGAGGTAGGTGGATGTGGGTGGGATTGTGTGTGTATACATGTACTTGTGGTGGGATTGTGTGTGTATACATGTACTTGTGGCGGGATTGTGTGTGTATACAGTGAGGGGGAAAAAGTATTTGATCCCCTGCAGATTTTGTACGTTTGCCCACTGACAAAGACATGATCAGTCTATAATTTTAATGGTAGGTTTATTTGAACAGTGAGAGACAGAATAACAACAAAAAAATCCAGAAAAACGCATGTCAAAAATGTTATAAATTGATTTGCATTTTAATGAGGGAAGTAAGTATTTGACCCCCTCTCAATCAGAAAGATTTCTGGCTCCCAGGTGTCTTTTATACAGGTAACGAGCTGAGATTAGGAGCACACTTTTAAAGGGAGTGCTGCTAATCTCAGCTTGTTACCTGTATAAAAGACACCTGTCCACAAAAGCAATCAATCAATCAGATTCCAAACTCTCCACCATGGCCAAGACCAAAGAGCTCTCTAAGGATGTCAGGGACAAGATTATAGACCTACACAAGGCTGGAATGGGCTACAAGACCATCGCCAAGCAGCTTGGTGAGAAGGTGACAACAGTTGATGTGATTATTCGCAAATGGAAGAAACACAAAATAACTGTCAATCTCCCTCGGCCTGGGAAACATGCAAGATCTCACCTTGTGGAGTTGCAATGATCATGAGAACGGTGAGGAATCAGCCCAGAACTACACGGGAGGATCTTGTCAATGATCTCAAGGCAAAGGGGTCAATTTATAACATTTTTGACATGGGTTTTTCTGGATTTTGTTGTTGTTATTCTGTCTCTCACTGTTCAAATAAACCTACCATTAAAATCATAGACTGATCATGTCTTTGTCAGTGGGCAAACGTACAAAATCAGCGGGGGATCAAATACTTTTTTCCCTCACTGTACATGTACTTGTGGTGGGATTGTGTGTGTATACATGTACTTGTGGGGGGGATTGAGTGTGTGTGTATACATGTGGTTGTGGGGGGATTGATTGTGTGTGTATACATGTGCTTGTGGGGGGATTGATTGTGTGTGTATACATGTGCTTGTGGGGGGATTGTGTGTGTATACATGTGGTTGTGGGGGGGATTGTGTGAATATTTTTCTGAGCCATGATTTAAATCAATAATACCCTGAATTATATTTTAAAATATATTTCATGATGGTTTCTACACTTGAACTGAGCTCTGTGTGTGTGTGTGTGTGTGTGAGAGAGCCATGATGTAAATCAACATTACCCTGAACTGAAGTATATTTTCAATATATTTCATGATGGTTTCTACACTTGAACTGAGCTCAATGTGTGTGACTGTGTGTGTTTCCACATATGCAATAGCGACATTGACTTGTTCTGTGTTTGTCCCTGTGCAGTCTACAATACCCTCAGCTGCTGAGGATGACCACTCCAGGAGAATCAAAGAGTATCAGCAGCGTCTTTTAGACCAGAATAGGTGTGTTTCTCGCAATGGCTGATTCATATGATGAAATTCAAACATTTAAAAGAGCTGCCAATTGCTGATTTCATGTGCACAGCAGATATCTTAGGGTGGCAGGTAGCCTAGCGGTTAGCGCGTTGGGCCAGTAACCGAAAGGTCACTGGTTCGAATACCCGAGCCGACAAGGTGAAAAATCTGGCTGTGCCCTTGAGCAAGGCACTTAACACTAATTTGCTATGGCTCACCCTGTAAAACAACACATCTCACTGCACCTATCTGTCATATGTAACAAAATCGTATCTTCTGTTATGGTTGTTTTTGGTAATATAAAAAAAAATATGTTTCCGTCTCTCAGGCTTCATAAGCAGTCAGTCGAGGAGGCTCGCCGGCGTCTGGAAGAGTACCAACACACGCTAAGAAACTGCTATTCTGGTGTAACTACGGCAACACATCTCCCTCCTGGTACCACAGCCTCTACCACACTTTAAAGGAGGAATCATTCCCCCGGTAGTGCCCCTAGAACTCCCCTCTGGCTCTGCCCTGCTCCCCTGTCTCCCTGAAGCACTTAGTACCCACTCTAGAGCTCACACCCCTCTGGACATCCCCACACGGGAGCCCTCCATCTTGGCTCTCTTCCTTCCTGGCGCAGCAGTCTGCTCGCATATCAGCTCCAGGACCTCACCAGTGCAACTAGAACCCACCGCTGAAAGCCTAAGGGACCAAAGAGCAGGCGTTTCTGCTTGGCTGGCGGACAATGTGTTTAGTAGGGTCACAGAGGACCTCCCTGAGAGGCTACCTCCCCCCTCTACCTCGTTGGATCCCCAGTCCTACAGACCACATCCTGTTTCCCTTCACCCTACTCCACACATCCCACTCATAACAAAAACTGACACCATCCCAGCCATCAGCCCAACCCTTTCAGAAGAGTCAGCTACTCTCCCTGGGGAGGCCCCAGTGAAGCCTGGGCCTGTCCTGCGGGCCTCTGCCAGGTTTGGGGAAGAGGTGGAGAGGCAGGAGTTACGTGAGGCCCAGCGTCAGGTGGAGGCCCAGAGGGAGGTGCTCTTCGTGCAGCAAAGGGAGCTGGAGGAGGAACCGGGGGAGCTGGAGGAGGAACCGGGGGAGCTGGAGGAGGAACCGGGGGAGCTGGAGGAGGAACCGAGGGAGCTGGAGGAGGAACCGAGGGAGCTGGAGGAGGAACCGAGGGAGGCGTTACAGGCACTGCTCACTGCTGACGACACACAGGTGAGGTAACAAACGAAACCTCAAGGGTTTTACCTGCTGTTACTAAGGCAGGGCCACTTGGTTTAAAGCCATTTAAAAAGTAAGAGTAACACTAACATTTAGAACAAGTAGGTAGCCCAAACATGTAAATTGTGTCAATGAAATTGCATGGATATACTCTGTCTACTGACTATAGTAGCTGACCAGCCTTTTCTGTCGGTCTGTCTCTGTATCTGTGTGTGTGGCTCCCCCAGCCTGGTTCAGAGATCGCTGATGGTTTGGGGTCAGAGGTCCTGGGGTCAGAGCATCTCCGTCTGATGGCAGCTCTGCTCAGGGCCATCAAGGAGTCCAATGGGCAAGCCTCACCATCTGTAGAAGCCAATCAGAGCCAAGACGACACACTCGACATCCAGAGTTCACACCCAGACAGACCCGCCCCTCACCCACTTCCCCACCACCACACCCGGGCAGCCAAACCCCCGGTGGCCCGCGCCAGGCTGGTCATCATGGCGATGATGACAGAGCAGCACGAGCTCAGTGCCATCCAGGAGGTGGAGACTCCAGCCAACGCCAGCCTGATCACAGGTCTGTCAGTTAGCCAGCCAGCCACACCCACAGGGGGCACCATACACCACACAACACTACACCAAACGTGGCAGTGGTCAGCTCTGGTAACCACTTTTATACAGCCTTCATAAACAAGCGTGTATCTCTAACCAGCTACTGTGTCCACAGGTCCAGAAGGGAGTGTGAGGCTGTCGCGTATTGAAAGGGCCTTCCCAGAAGAACAGGACCACTCGGCCCACTCTGAGAGAGGTCACTCCAGCACCTATGTGTCCAGTGCAGGGGAACACACAGCTGGGACTGGGAGTGAGACAGTAACTGGGTCTGGTAGATCCAGCAAGCTGTCCTGGAGAGAGAGACTACGGCTGGAGGCTGATGCCTCTCCTGAACCTGGTAAGGAACGGAGGAATGGATGAAGGGGAATATGGAGATATCTTATGCCAGGGTGGTTACCACAGGAGTATAGGAGAGGGATCCATTCACTTAGATTTAGACTGATGGTCATGCAGTCCTCTCAGACATTTTCAGTCACTCTAATCCAACTATAATTTTTCCTAGATCCCACCCCAGCGCGCCCAGAACAGTCTTATCACTCCTGTGAGTTTGGGAGAGGTGTCCCTGGCGAATCTCCTACAGAGGTACGTTTAACCCATGATTTATGTCTGAGGCTTTTTACTGGTTTTATTTGACTCCCTGTGAGGTCCACCGTATTGTGAATAAATTATGAGAAGTTGCCAAATCTGAGGGTTTGTGGTCTGTCCTACAAAACCCATGATATTGCTTGAGAATCCGTTTTTTGTATTTGTGTGTGTCTTGTGTTCGTGACTGTTCGTGTCTGGATTTCTGTTTTCTTTCTGAGCAATGATGTAAATCAATATTGTCCTGAACTGAAGTATATTTGAAATATATTTCATGATGGTTTCTACACTTGAACTGAGCTCAATGTGTTTGTCCGTGTGTTTCTCTGTGTCCGTGTGTGTCTCTGTGTCTGTGTGTGTCTGTGTGTGTGTCTTTGTGTCCGTGTGTGTGTGTGTCTTTGTGTCCGTGTGTGTGTCTTTGTGTCCGTGTGTGTCTTTGTGTCCGTGTGTGTCTCTGTGTGTCTTTGTGTCCGTGTGTGTCTCTGTGTGTGTGTATTTTCTTTCTGAGCCGTGATGTAAATCAATTATCCCTGAAGTATATGTGAAAACATATATCATGAGGATTTCTACACTTGAACTGAGCTCTTTCCACAGTATTATTTAGAGTGCATTTGAAAAGTATTCAGACCCCTTAACTGTTTTTGTTACGTTACAGCCTTATTCTAAAATTGATTAGTCATTTTTTCCCCCTCAATCTACACACAGTACCCCATAATGAGAAAGCAAAAACAGGTTTTTAGAAATGTTTGCAAATGTATTACAAAATAAAAACTGAAATCACGTTTAGATAAGTATTCAGACCCTTTACTCAGTACTTTGTTGAAGCACCTTTGGCAGCGATTACAGCCTTGAGTCTTCTTGGGTATGACTCTACAAGTTTGGCACACCTGTATTTGAAGAGTTTCTCCCATTCTTCTCTGCAGATCCTCTCAAGCGCTGTCAGGTTGGATGGGGAGCGTCGCTGCACAGCTATTTTCAGGTCTCCAGAGATGTTCGATCGGGTTCAAGTACGGGCCACTCAAGGACATTCAGAGACTTGTCCCGAAGCCACTCCTGCGTTGTCTTGGCTGTGTGCTTAGGTTCGTTGTCCTGTCTGAGGTCCTGAGGGCTCTGGAGCAGGTTTTCATCAAGGATCTCTCTGTACTTTGCTCCGTTCATCTTTCCGTCGATCCTGACTAGTCTCCCAGTCCCTGCCGCTGAAAAACATCCCCACAGCATGATGCTGCCACCACCATGTTTCACCGTAGGGATGGTGCCAGGTTTCCTCCAGATGTGACGCTTGGCATTCAGGCCAAAGAGTTCAATCTTGGTTTCATCAGACCAGAGCATCTTGTAAAAAAATGTTTTAAAAAATGGTCAGAGTCTTTAGGTGTCTTTTGGCAAACTCCAAGCGGGCTGTCATGTGCCTTTTACTGATTGGTGGAGTGCTCCAGAGATGGTTGTCCTTCTGCAAGGTTCTCCAATGTCCACAAAGGAGCTCTGTCAGTGACCATCGGGTTCTTGGTCACCTCCCTGACCAAGGCCCTTCTCCCCCGATTGCTCAGTTTGGCCGGGCGGCCAGCTCTAGGAAGAGTCTTGGTGGTTCCAAACTTCGTCCATTTAAGAATGGAATCATTTTCTGGTACCCTTCCCCAGATCTGTGCCTCGACACAATCCTGTCTCGGAGCTCATGGCTTGGTTTTTGCTCTGACATGCACTGTCAGCTGTGGGACCTTATATAGAAAGGTGTGTGCCTTTCCAAATCATGTCCAATCAATTGAATTTACCACAGGTGGACTCCAATCAAGTTGTAGAAACATCTCAAGTATGATCAATGGGAACAGGATGCACCTGAGCTCAATTTCTAGTCTCATAGCAAAGGTTATGAATACTCAAGTAAATAAGATATTTATATTATTTATTTTATATAAATTTGCAAACATTTATAAAAACCTGTTTTCGCTTTGTCATTATGGAGTATTGTGTGTAGATTGATGAGGGAAAACATTTTATTTAATCCATTTTAGAAATAGGCTGTAACAAAATGTGGAAAAAGTCAAGGGGTCTGAATACTTTCCGAATGCACTGTATATACAGTCGCTACGCTATCAAACCCTTCCTGTCTAACCCAGGTGTCTTCCCCTGTGTTGTGTCCCTGTCATCTGTTTTGTCCAGTTGGAGAGCCTGTCCTTCCAGTCAATCTATAGACCCTCAGAACCTGACTACCTGTCCTCCACCACCATCTCCTCTGGCAGCTACGCCACCACTGACCCTGAACACAACTCCACAATTGACTATCTTTCCAGTTCAGTCATGTCAGAAATTATACTTGATAAATGGTAGTTACATTTAAAATGATGGAGATATCTAATCCTCTTTACTATTTTTTTCCCCCCTATAAGACTCATCCCTGCTCCTGGCTGGGTTTGGAATAGGAGGAGGCGGAGGAAGAGGGAAATAATCTTCGATCAATGGCTCCTTTTCGTCCAGACACAGTTCCTGTAGGGACGTATCTGGTCCACGGTCTCCCATCTCAGAATCACTCCTACACAGCAGCAGTATCCAGCGCATCATAGACAAATACACCAGGGAGCTCAACCTCTCTCTCAGTACTGCTGGGAACCAGACGGGTACACACACACACAATTTGAATCTTTCTTTTTGATTACAGTATCCTACAGTAGTGACTTTCCAAACAGCAGCCTCTTACAATTCCCCTTCTTCCTCCTCCCATCCAGGTCCCTCTGCAGTGATCTAGGGGTCAGTGTGTGAGGAGCCCAGCTCCTCTGTGTCCCAGCAGAAGCAGCAGCAGAAGCCCTGGTCTAAGCTACTGCAGGAGAATGAGGGACCGGACAGGTCACCTGTTTGGGGGGCCGACCCCCACACACTCCCCTTGGACACAGAGTCCGGAGCTCAGAGGCACAACCAGGTGGGTTCATCCACACCCTCACACTCCATTCAATGGCATTATGGGTTCAGAGTAAATACTCTGATTTTATTTTTAGTATCAACATTGACTAATACAAGGTATCAAAAAAAAAAAAAGTATTGTTCAGGAATGGGACAACGCTGTCAATCGGATCATGGATCGCCTCATTGGCTCTGGACCAGGGGCAGGACTCCACTATCAGCCCAATGATTGGCCAATCCTCGGATAAGTCATCCTCACCAGGCCAAGGGTGGGACTCTACTTTGAGCCGAATGATTGGCCAGCTCTCAGGTCAATCAACCTCACTGGACCAAGGGTGGAATTCGACTTTGAGCAGAATGATTGGCGGGCTCTCCAATCAGTCAACCTCTGTGAGCCAGCTGATTGGTCAGATGCGGCTGGACCAGTCATCCCACTGGCTGGATGAAGGCCAGGATGAGAGCCGGATGATGGGGCCTCTGGTTGGAGAGCTGGATGAGTCCTCTGCCCAATGGAGTGGGAGCTCAGGTAACAGAGTCAATGAATATGGATGGAATTTTACTGTGTGTTTGTTATTGCATGTCTTATTTCAGTGTGCAAGAGCATATTTCTTGCTAATGCTCTACTGAACCCCCTACCCCCCTACATTAGGAGCTGATGGGTCTAACCTCAGCCACACTACCAGAGCCTGCAGTACTCTGGCACCAGCTCCCAGGAAGCAGACAGGACTGGGGGTGAGTCTATTAGGGATGTTTTCTAACGATGAATCAGGATTTCCTGATATTCTTTTTGACTATATCCTCCATTTCCTGCAGCATTCACCCTGACCCACCTGCTAACTACAATTCCCCTTTCCCTCATTTGTTGTGACGGTATGGATGAGGTACTAGCTTCTGACTGTTAATAATCTTTTCACTCTGTTCTGTCTCTCAGTGGATCCTGCCTCTGACTCCTTCCACCCCCCCCCTGGCTGAGGTCACGCACAACGAGACAGCCGAACACACTATGACCTTTCACCTTCCAGAAGAGGAAGAAAGTGACCATGAAGCACCTGCAGGGGACCTTGAGCTCTCTGCATGCTCAGAGGGGTTTGAGGATGACACAGACCCCTCCGTCGCCCCTGAGCGCCGGAGGGGAGGAGCCACCTCAGACCTCGCCCGCCCTCCAGGACTCCTTGTACCAGTTGACCACGTCCCAGAGCCTCCCCCATAACTCTGCCTGGGAGGTATCCCCAGGAGCGGAGGAGGTGGTTCTGGCAGCATGTTCCCTCTCAGGCCTCTTTCTGTGAAGATGTCCCCACTTTGGACATGCCACTTGAAGGAGGGGACACTGATATGGAGAGTACACCAGCACCTCAGAGAGTTGACCAAGGAGGTGCTATTACCATTGAGGACCTAGGTGCAGGAGAGCTGGATGCCCAGCTATGTTCAGAGTCCAAGTTCAGCCCTCCCATCTGGGAGAGAATAATGGTATGTATTTCATTACATTTCTTTCACTATTCAAATGAAAAATACCCCCAAAGCATAATGTTTCCACCTCCATGTTTGATGGTGGGGATGGTGTTCTTGGGGTCATAGGCAGCATTCCTCCTCCTCCAAACACGGCGAGTTGAGTTGATGCCAAAGAGCTCGATTTTGGTCTCATCTGACCACAACACTTTCACCCAGTTCTCCTCTGAATCATTCAGATGTTCATTGGCAAACTTCAGACGGACATGTATATGTGCTTTCTTGAGCAGGGGGACCTTGCGGGCGCTGCAGGATTTCAGTCCTTCACGGCGTAGTGTGTTACCAATTGTTTTCTTGGTGACTATGGTCCCAGCTGCCTTGAGATCATTGACAAGATCCTCCCGTGTAGTTCTGGGCTGATTCCTCACCGTTCTCATGATCATTGCAACTCCACGAGGTGAGATCTTGCATGGAGCCCCAGGCAGAGGGAGATTGACAGTTCTTTTGTGTTTCTTCCATTTGCGAATAATCGCACCAACTGTTGTCACCTTCTCACCAAGCTGCTTGGCGATGGTCTTGTAGCCCATTCCAGCCTTGTGTAGGTCTACAATCTTGTCCCTGACATCCTTGGAGAGCTCTTTGGTCTTGGCCATGGTGGAGAGTTTGGAATCTGATTGATTGATTCCTTCTGTGGACAGGTGTCTTTTATACAGGTAACAAATTGAGATTAGGAGCACTGAATATTCAACCAGTCAGCTGAATATTGAGAAGTTTTTCCAACACTTTTGATAAACAGGGCAAAATAGAAATTGGCCTATATTAGTTAGGATCAGCTTGATATCCCCCTTTAAATAAACGACGCACCGTGGCTGCCTTCCAAGCAATGGGAACCTCCCCAGAGAGGAGAGACAGGTTAAAAAGGTCAGAGACAGGCTTGGTGATGATGGGGGCTACAGCCTTAATGAAGAAAGCGTCTAAACCATCTGACCCAGATGTTTTTTGGGGGTCAAGTTTAAGGAGCTCCTTTAGCACCTCAGACTCAGCTGCAGGGAGAAACTTTGTAGCAGGGCAGGGGAAAAAGAGGGAGGAGCATCGGGGCTAGTCCCCTGTAGCTCAGTTGGTAGAGCATGGCACTTGCAACGCCAGGGTTGTGGGTTAGTTTCCCACGGGGGGCCAGTATGAAAAATGTATGCACTCACTAACTGTAAGTCGCTCTGGATAAGAGCGTCTGCTAAATGACAAAAAAAAAATGTTTGAAGGGGTGGGAGATGAGGAAATGTTGGACGGGCAAGGAGGCATGGCGAAGTCAAATAGGAATCCTGACTTAATGAAGTGGTGATTAAAGAGCTCAGCCATGTGCTCTTTGTCAGTAACAACCACATCATCAACATCAAGGGACATGGGCAGCTGTGAGGAGGAGGGTTTATTCTCCAAGTCTTTAACTGTTTTCCAGAACTTCTTGGGGTTAGACCCACAGAGAGAGACCGGCTCCTTAAAGTAACTAGCTTTAGCCTTCCAGATTGCTTGAGTGCACTTATTTCTCATTTGCCTGAACGAGAGCCAGTCAGCCTGAGTAAGCGTGTGCCGAGCCTTTCGCCAAATGGAATTCTTGAGGTGGAGTAACTCTGCCAGAATATGGTCGAACCAGGGGCTGAACCTGTTTTTAATTAGCATTTACTTTATAGGGGTGTGTTTGTTAACAATACCACTGAAAATATAAAAAAAGGTCCAAGGGCTCCAGGGCCCAGTCCGACACCACTGAGACCAGGGCCAATTTTTTATTTTTTTTTATTTATTTTATTTCACCTTTATTTAACCAGGTAAGCCAGTTGAGAACAGGTTCTCATTTACAACTGCGACCTGGCCAAGACAAAGCAAAGTAGTGCAACAAAAACAACACAGAGTTACATATGGGGTAAAAAAAAACAAAGTCAGAAATACAACAGAAAATATATATACAGTGTGTGCAAATGTAGCAAGTTATGGAGGTAAGGCAATAAATAGGCTATAGTGCAGAATAATTACAATAGTATTAACACTGGAATGCTAGATGTGTAAGAGATTATGTGCAAATAGAGATACTGGGGTGCAAAAGAGCAAATTAAATAACAATATAGGGATGAGGTAGTTGGGTGGGCTAAATTCAGATGGGCTGTGTACAGGTGCAGTGATCGGTAAGGTGCTCTGACAACTGATGCTTAAAGTTATTGAGGGAGATAAGAGTCTCCAGCTTCAGAGATTTTTGCAACACAACCACCAGGGCCCAGTCTGACCCAACCACTGTTCAATCATCCACTACTAAACCCAGGAGAGAGGGGAGGAGTGCAGAGTCAACCCATGCAGGAGGGGATGCCAACCAGAAAAAGCAACAGCCAAAGCCCCAAACTCCCTTGCAGCCTCCCATGCTAGGTAACAATAGAATAGAATAAGTATAATATTGTGTTAACCAACCAACACATGGGAACTCTTGGGGAAGGAAAGTGGGGTTAGTAATGGGTCAAACACTTGGTCTTAGGCGTTGTAGAGTGTTACTGAACCGGGTCCTCCTCTCTTTGTCCTCGGTAAGTGAAGCCAAGCTGAAGAAGGTTGGGGAGGTGAGGATCAGCACTCCTGAGATGAGGAAACAGGATGTGGCTAACATGCGCCAGAGAACAGAGAGGTAACAAGTTCTTTCTATTATATTCTGCTGGAACAAGACCCAACCACACATCACATTAACATGATCTGATATCCTACTCTGGTACCTAAGATGTTTTTTCAGCGGCACACGTTTCTCTCATGACCTCCCTCTTGGTTGTCTCTCTGCAGGTTGTACAGCCGACTAGATGAGGTGAAGCTTCAGAAGGAGGTCAGGAGCAGACAGGAGGCATATGCCAAAAACAGGGAGAAGGCCAAAGAGTTTCACAAGGTAACATTTAAAATACCCCAATGTTTAAAGGAATAAAACATGATATTGTATCTGGCATTACTGTATATTGAATTAATAAAAAGTTGAAGTGGGTTGATGTACATCAACATTAGTCTGTTTGAATTGATACGAATTCTGTTTTTTCTCTTCACAGAAAACCTTAGAGAAGCTACGGGCCAAGCAGTCTCCACAATGATACTGAAGATCAGTTTTATCTGTTATACGTGGTCTGTGTTTGCAAGTATTTTGTACTTACATGTATTTTTGTACAGTTTAATCAGTAATTTCAAAGATCATATTTCTAATAAAGTGTGTGTATATATAAATCAGTGTTCAGTCTATTCATCACTACATATTACTGTGTTCACAGAACAAAAGCAACCAGTGTACTATTACACCTTGTGTACTGTAGGTAGACACATTGCATTAATAATGATTACATATCTTGCATTATTCATCTCATATTTATATACTGTATTCTATACTATTGTACTGTATCTTAGTCCATGCCGCTCTGACATCGCTCCTCCATATATGTATTCTTAATTCATTCCTTACTTAGATTTGTGTGTATTGGGTATATGTTGTGGAATTGTTAGATATTACTTGTTAGATATTTGTTATTTTTTATTTTACCTTTATTTAACTAGGCAAGTCGGTTAAGAACAAATTCTTATTTACAATGACGGCCTACACCGGCCAAACCTGGACGAAGCTGGGCCAATTGTGCGCCGCCCTATGGGACTCCCAATCACGGCCGGTTATGATACAGCCTGGAATCGAACCAGGGGGTCTGTAGTGACGCCTCAAACACTGATATGCAGTGCCTTAGACCGCTGCGCACTGTCGGAGCTAGAAGCACAAGCATTTCGCTACATCCGCAATAACATCTGCTAAACACGTGTATGTGACCAATACAATTTGATTTGAATGTTATGGTGCCTGTACAAATATTTTTGGTTGAAGTTTTTATAACCAATAGAAATTGTTAGCTGCTGCTTTTGCAAATCCTTATAAGTTCAATTAACAGGTGATAAACTGGGGCGTATTAATTACGTTGATTCTGTTGCAAAACTTTTATCAAATGGAAGGAAACGCGAAGGGACCGACCTGAACTCCTTTCGATGTTTGCTTCCGTATGGTTCTTAAACGGTTTCCGTAATGAATACGCCCCAGCGCGATGCAGTTGCAACTTGCGCCAGACCGACAGCTGTAGGCTTTATGATTTTTGTGAGGCGGTGTTCTAGGGCGGTCGATTTGAGAGGAAGCTGTGAAGACGCGTCGCTATAGAAACAAGTGCAGGAAGTAGTTGCGGGCGGTAAGTAGTATTTTCTGCGACCAGGACAGTTCTATATCGTGGAGCTCCGCCCCATAGGGGAGCTCTGCTCCTATTGGTTTACCCTCTGCCCTAAGGCAGCATTAGCCTGAGACAAAATTATGCACATACCTGCAGCCAATAGGAGTACAGGTGTCCCTATAAGAGGGGATGCCTCCCCTCAATCTGCCTCCCTTTATCTTCAGCGACTGGACTAGACTGAAGAGCCAAGAAGAGACGAAGAAGCACGAAGACTCAGGACGAAAACGCAGTTGATCTCCAGTCATCAACGTCGTCTAAATGAGCACACCGGGAGATTTCCCACCCCCAAAAGCTCTTTTCAGAGCTCAGTGCAGATGCACTTCCATGGCGGCCGGTGACCACCACGACCTATGTTTCGTGTGTTTGGGGTCCCAGCATGCCAAAGAAGGCGTCTGCAGTCCCCCGAATTGCGCCTCCTGCGCCCTCCTTTCTTTGAAGGAGAGGAAACAGCGTTGGGCGTTTTTCAGGGAGGACATCCCCCTTGAGGACGTGCTGTCAATACTAGCCTCTGCTTCAGAGGCGTCGTCTGACGGCGCAGACTCGGGGGAAGATAGGGACTTTGAGGAGGGATCTGTCATTCCGATGGAACAGTCAGACCCCATCCCTCATACTTTCAAGCCCCCCTTTCCTTTGGATAGCGAGAGGGCTTGTAGTCCCTATAGCGAAGGGGATACGAGCTCTGAGAGATCAGAAGCTCTGTCTTTCGCTGCAGCCTCTCTGAGATCGGATTTTCCGGGTCTCATTGAGAGAGCTGCCAGACGTCTGGACATAAAGCTGCCCCCTCTTCCCTCCGCACCGGAGGTTGATATGATGGAGGGCGGACCTTATTCCAGGCCAAGGAGGGCGGCAGAGCCAGTGGCTCCTGCCATGCCTTCTTTGGCTAGATACGTCGAGGGCTCTTGGGAGGCACCTTTAGCGGCGCGTTCGCCGGTTAAAGCGTACCTCCCATTCACGAGAGTGGAGGGAAGGTTCCAGGGTCAGGGAATCCCCAGGTTAGAGAGCGCCATGGGAGCGTATCTCGTACCGGGTTCGAGTCCTTGGCCCTCTTCCAAGAAGGCCACGTTGCCATCACAGAAGGACCGTCTCACAGCATTGCTGTTAGAGAAGTCCTTCAGTTTGGGAGCCCAAGCTGTAGCAGCAGCTAATAATATTGCCCTCTTGGCGGCCGCTCTGTCCCGTTTAACCACGGGTAAGACAGAGCTGGTACCGGAGGAGGTGGAGGAGGCGTCCAGGATTTCTGGCGCCATACTTCACCTAACACAGGCGTCTGCAGTCTGCGCGGGGAGGTCCATGGCCACTTCGGTGGTCGGGGAACGACACCTCTGGTTGTCTCTGACTTCCATGAAAGAGGCAGACAGGACGTCTTTATTGAACGCCCCCCTCTCTGACGACGGCCTCTTTGGGGTCTCTGTCAAAGAGGCGACGGAGTGGTTCTCTAAGCTGGAGGAGGACAAGAAGCAGCTGGCCAAGCACCTGCCATTGGCAGGGCGACTGGGCCTGGCACCGTCACAGAGGCCATCTACCTCCGCCCCTCAGAGTAGACCGGGATCTACAGCGAGGCGGCGTACTCGGCGTCATCCGGCGGCTGCAGGCAGCAAGGGAACGGGCCCCGCCCTTCCAGCAGCCACGGTAGCCCCGTTACAGCCGGCGAGGGAGGTGGTGAGGACGCCGACCTGGCCTTCCAAGGGAGGCAAGAGGAGGCGCACATGACGGGACGCGGGGAGAGAATAGAGGATCCGTCGACCTCGAACGTATCCACTGTCCCCCCCCACCCTTCGGTTGAAGGGATGGGTGATGTGATTGCTATTGTTGATGTATTCAATAAAGAGTTGGCTCCACCTGACTTTGTCAAAAAAGAGCCCCTTTTCCATAATACGTCCGAGAGCGTTCAAATCTCACCCTCTCTTCCTTACCACTCTAAGAGCCGTTCAGCCCACCGAGGGTGCGTTGCTGAACAGGCACTCAGAGTAGGTACACATAACACTTCATGTATAAGAAGTGCTCTACATAGCAGGCAGCAGTCTCTGTCAGATTCTGACATGATGACGCAGCCGCTATTTGGGGATGGCGCACTATCACAGACTAAGGTCTCTGTTAGTACGAGCCAGACCCATGCTGCGTTCACGGAGGGTCCGATTACCGCGGTCACGAAGGTGTCCAGAGTATCGGCGCCCCCAGACATTATGACACAGCAGCTATCTGGGGATGGCGCACTATCGCAGACTAAGGTCTCAGTTAGTGCGATTCAGACCCATGCTACGTTCACGGAGGGCCGGATTACTAAGGTTATGGGAATAACCAACGTATCGGCTCCTCTGACAAAACGAGCTAGTACTCACCACACTGAGTGTGAATCAACCCACCAGGGGTGCAGAGTTGAACACACACAGAAGGTGAAGGTTAAGAGGGTATCAAGGCGCCGCCTTGTTTTACCCCATAGAGACCTCATATTACAGACTTCTAGGAGTGCTGTAGTGAAGGGCTCTAATAGCGAATTGCAGTCACCTAAGATGACGCAATCGCTTGCTGGGCATGGTGCCCTGTCGCAGGCTGTGGCCTCGGTCAGTGCAATTCAGACCCGCGATGCGTTCAAGGAGGGCAGGAATACGACGGTTACGAGTTTAACCGACGTCTCTGCTCCTCTTTCTCTCTCAGAACGCATTGATGGTTCCTCTCCCTTTCTCGGGAGGCCCACCTTGGGCTGTTCCACCACTTCAGTGTTGGGGAACAGTGGCGGTAAGGGCCATAGAGGAATACAGGTCCTTCCTACTGAATGCACCACAGCTTCGTGCTCAGCCGCTTTCTCTGCATTGCTGGCAGTGGTGAAGAAGCTGTACCCTCTCACGCTGGCTAGAACAGACGTTGCAGAAGGGTTATGCTCTCCAATTCCATCGGACCCCACCCCCGTTCAGGGGAGTGGTGGAGACGGTGATGAAAACGCCCGTAAAAGTGGCCGCTCTGGTTTCAGAGATTACGGAACTTTTGGCGAAGGAGGCGGTCACAGTAGTTCCCCAGGAGCAAAGGAACAAGGGGCTATATTCGCCCTATTTCCTGGTGCCCAAAAAGACGGGGGGAGTGAGGCCGATTTTGGATTTACGCATTCTCAACGAGAGCGTAACCAAACGGCCCTTCCGAATGCTAACGACAAAACGTCTGCTGGAATGTGTCCAGAGAGGGGACTTTTGTACGAGCATAGACCTAAAGGATGCGTACTTTCATGTGCCGGTTCAGCCGCGTCACAGTAAGTTTCTGCGGTTCGCCTTTTCAAGGGGTGGCGTACGAATACACGAGGATGCCATTTGGGTACGCCCTGGCACCTCGCACATTTTCCAAGTGTGTGGAGGCGGCATTGGAACCGTTGCGTCGTCAGGGGATACGGCTACTAGCCTACCTGGACGATCTACTGGTTCTCGCCCCGTCAGCAGAGCTGGCGATCACTCACACAACACAGACAGTGATTCATCTCACAAGTCTGGGGTTCGCTGTGAATTGGAAAAAGAGCGCGCCCTGGCCCACTCATCAGATTGTCTACCTGGGGATTCACCCCCGAAGGGTAGCCTTGTTGCTAGCCCTGAGGAAGTGTCGTCCGAATCACACGGTGACGGCGCTGTCGATCATGTCACTTTTGGGTCTCATGTCGTCAGCCCACTCTGTGGTTCCGCTGGGACTCCTGCATATGCGCAGGATGCAGCGATGGTTCGCCCAACTAAGACTAGACCCATTGCGTCAACGTCATCGGTTGGTGGTGGTTCCACTCTCGCTCAGTGCAGATCTGAACTATTGGAGAAACCCGTGCGTTCTTACGCACGGAGGCCCGATAGGCAAGGTGTCATCCTACATCCCAGTGTTCACAGACGCGTCTCTGACGGGATGGGGAGGGACATGTCAGACTCAAGCGATAGGAGGTGTGTGGCCTCTTTCGAGTCGCCACATCAACCTCTTGGAGTTGGAAACGGTTCGACTGGTTCTGACCCACTTCGCGTCTACCCTTCGGGGTCGCGATGTGCTGGTCTGGTCAGACAACCGGACCACAGTAGCTCACATAAATCGCCAGGGAGGAGTCAGGTCTCCTGCTCTCCATCGGGCGGCAGAGGAATTGTGGCTGTGGGCTCACGAGCACCTTCGCTCATTGAGAGCAGCACACATTCCGGGCTACTTGAATGTAGGAGCAGACCTCATGTCAAGAGGGGGTCCTCGAGACGACGAGTGGTGTCTGCATCCGGACATTGTTCTCCAAATTTGGGAACAGTTCGGGAGAGCCGAGGTGGACCTATTCGCGTCACGCGTGAACGCGCAATGTCCTCTATGATTCTCTCTGAGGGAACAGGACGAACCGCCACTGGGAAGAGACGCTTTTGCGCACCAACCGTGGCCGAGAGTTCTCCTGTATGCATTCCCTCCGCTGTCCTGCATTCTCCCACTGTTAGCCAGGGTGAGGTCAGGAGGGCTGTCAGTGATACTGATAGCCCCCGATCGCCCAGGGGCTCCTTGGTTTGCGGAGATGAGTCAGATGTTGATGGCGCCACCTTGGCCAATTCCACATCGACGGGACGCGTTGTCTCAGGCGGGGGGCACGATAGGGCGATTGCCCATAATCGGCCAACCACTGAAGGCCTGGCTGCTGAGAGGGACAGGCTAGAGCGCCGTGGGTTATCTGATGCAGTGATCAGGACCATACAGGGTTCACGTGCCAGTTCCACTTCTAAGATGTATGCCAGTAGATGGAACGTGTTTTCACGATGGTGTGTCACACAAGGTGTAGACCCCATGAGCTGTCAGGTGGAGAGTATTCTCTCTTTTCTACAGCTTATGTTTGATAAGCAGCGATCGCCCGCCACCATTAGGGTGTTTGCAGCAGCGATTTCAGCTTGTCATGAGGGGTTTGGCAGAGACAATGTCTTTAGCCACCCTCTAGTGAAACGTTTCCTATTAGGAACGCGGCGACTTAGGCCAACACCTAGAGTCACGCTTCCTCAGTGGGATTTGGCTTTGGTACTCGAAGCACTATGTAAGTCGCCGTTCGAGCCATTGAATCAAATACCCCTCAAGATGCTGTCTATCAAGACAGCACTGTTGCTCGCTTTGACTACAGCTAAGCGGGTCAGTGATTTGTGTGCTCTTTCGACGAGACCTGACTGCCTGGCCATCAATGGTGACCTGAGCAGAGCGGTGTTACGTCCTAACCCGGCATTTGTGCCGAAGGTTATTAGGAGTTCATATAGATCACAGACAGTGGAGCTGTGGGCGTTTTCTCCTCCTCCTCATAGAGAGAGGAGTGAGGAAGAGCTCCATCGCCTGTGCCCAGTACGCGCTTTGGCGTGTTACGTCGAGCGCACAGCAGCGATTAGGTCATCGCCTCAGCTGTTTGTGTGTCACGGTGCGGCTGCACTAGGTAGACCACTTTCGAAACAGCGTCTGTCTCATTGGCTTTGTGAAGGCATTGAGACAGCTTATGAGGCAGCGGGGCGACAGTTGCCTCAGGGTATCAGAGCTCACTCCACTCGTGGAGTAGCAGCTTCTACTGCCCTTTTCAGAGGAACAGGGGTAGAGGATATATGTAGAGCGGCGTCTTGGTCGACACCGTCTCCATTTATCCGTTTCTATCTCTTGGATATGTCTTCTAACTCTTTGGCTCAGTCTGTACTCAGCGTGGCTGAAGGGAGACTTTGAGCTAGGAGGAGAGGAATGCAGGACTGTGGAGACAAGGTCTCTATCAGGTCCGCTTCTGATAGAAGGACATATTTTTGACATGACTCCTGACTGACAGGTTCAGTACAGTAGAGGGCATGTAGGTTGACAGAGTGTGACGTCATCTATCTGCTTGTTCAGAATAGTATGGGTCATGTTCTGGGATCTGCCCACTAATCTCTGGGGTTCCATTGAGTAAGTGGGGCGGCCTACCGTGTTCACAATGTAGAGTGACACCTTTGTGTCATTCCATTACTGACTGGTAGTGATGTATCAGAATATTGAGGTATCATCTATCTGCTAGTACAGATTAGTATGGCCGGTATTCTAGTGATCTGCCCACTAGTCATTGGTTTTGCCATTAGACTAGCTGGGGCGGGTCTTGAACCGATGACGCAGTATATTGTGACACTTGTATTTTACACAGTGGTTGCAGTACTGCGGGAATTGGTTGCAGCCATTGCTAGGCCTGACCTTTTCGTTTCGATGAGAAGTGTTGGGCTCGGCAGGGAGTACATTTTGGAGCGCTACACTCCGCCTTAAACCAATAGGAGCAGAGCTCCCCTATGGGGCGGAGCTCCACGATATAGAACGATTAGTTACCGGAGTGTAACTCCAGTTCTATGAGTGGAGCGGAGCCCCATAGGACTTAAGGCCCTGCCGACTCTCTCTAGTCTCGCTGAAGATAAATATTTTGGGAGGCAGATTGAGGGGAGGCATCCCCTCTTATAGGGACACCTGTACTCCTATTGGCTGCAGGTGTGTGCATAATTTTGTCTCAGGCTGATGCTGCCTTAGGGCAGAGGGTAAACCAATAAGAGCAGAGCTCCCCTATGGGGCTCCGCTCCACTCATAGAACTGGAGTTACACTCCGGTAACTAATCGTTTTGATACTTTTTTTTTTTTAGGCTTTTAGGTCACTGAATTGTGGTGCATGTGTTGGTTTTCGCATTAGGGAGTTGTGCGGTTACTGGGCTCATAGACGTAAGCTAATGTTAACGTTCGCTATAGACTAACTTTTTCCAACACTGTCATTGCTGTGATTAAGCAAATTACAGTACTGTCAGTTCTGTTGCACGGACGGGATGATTGATGCTGGCTTGATACTGCTGACTTGATGCTTGTTGGCAAGCACGCGAACTACGTTAGTTGGATAACATAAGGCAGCGAATGTGTTTACCTACTTGGCAAACTAGCTAAGTTAGTATGAATCATGCTACATGTATAAAAGGTTTATTGCCACTTATGCATTCTACTAAAGTAAAGATGTCTTGTTCGATGTGGGCATCATATTCGCATCTTGATGCTGTGCCCCGTCTCTACCCCTGCTCACCAGCAATGTCCCGCTCAGTGATCCAGCCCCTGAGTGCAGGGGCCAATGCCCCAGAGGCATTGTCCCTCCTGGAGCCCGTGGAGAGGGACCCCATTCAGCGTCCCGCTAGCCCCCTGAAGATGCACCGTGCCCTGAGAGAACCCGGAGGAGAAGGGTTACTGTGGCGCCAGTGTTATGGGCTAGTGAGCAGGGTATGTCACATGGAGAGCCTCCTGCAGACCCTCAAGCTCACCACCTTTCGCTTGGAGACTGAGAGAGACCTGGATCCCTTACACTCAGGTAATGGGCTTTGACAACCTGCATCAAAACAATGTCACAATAAACACATTAGGGAACATACAGTGGCTTGCAAAAGTATTCACCCCCCTTGGCATTTTTCCTATTTTGTTGCCTTACAACCTGGAATTAAAATTGATTTTTGGGGGGTTTGTATAATTTGATTTACACATCATGCCTACCACTTTGAAGATGCAAAATATTTTTTTTGGGGAAACAAACAAGAAATAAGACAAAAAAACTGAACTTGAGCGTTCATAACTATTCACCCCCCCAAAGTCAATACTTTGTAGAGCCACCTTTTGCAGCAATTACAGCTGCAAGTCTCTTGGGGTATGTCTCTATAAGCTTGGCACATCTAGCCACTGGGATTTTTGCCCATTCTTCAAGGCAAAACTGCTCCAGCTCCTTCAAGTTGGATGGGTTCCGCTGGTGTACAGCAATCTTTGTCATACCACAGATTCTCAATTGGATTGAGGTCTGGGCTTTGACTAGGCCATTCCAAGACATTTAAATGTTTCCCCTTAAACCACTCAAGTGTTGCTTTAGCAGTATGCTTAGGGTCATTGTCCTGCTGGAAGACGAACCTCCGTCCCAGTCTCAAATCTCTGGAAGACTGAAACAGGTTTCCCTCAAGAATTTCCCTGTATTTAGCGCCATCCAGCATTCCTTCAATTCTGACCTGTTTCCCAGTCCCTGCCGATGAAAAACATCCCCACAGCATGATGCTGCCACCACCATGCTTCACTGTGGGGATGGTGTTCTCGGGGTGATGAGAGGTGTTGGGTTTGCCACAGACATAGCATTTTCCTTGATGGCCAAAAAGCTCCATTTGAGTCTCATCTGACCGGAGAACCTTCTTCCATATGTTTGGGGAGTCTCCCACATGCCTTTTGGCAAAATGTGTTTGCTTATTTTTTTCTTGAAGCAATGGCTTTTTTTCTGGACACTCTTCTGTAAAGTCCAGCTCTGTGGAGTGTACAGCTTAAAGTGGTCCTATGGACAGATACTCCAATCTCTGCGGTAGAGCTTTGCAGCTCCTTCAGGGTTATCTTTGGTCTCTTTGTTGCCTCTGATTAATGCCCTCCTTGCCTGGTCTGTGAGTTTTGGTGGCCTGCCCTCTCTTGGCAGGTTTGTTGTGGTGCCATATTCTTTTCATTTTTTAATAATGGATTTAATGGTGCTCCGTGGGATGTTCAACGTTTCTGATATTTTTTTATAACCCAACCCTGATTTGTACTTCTCCACAACTCTGTCCCTGACCTGTTTAGAGAGCTCTTTGGTCTTCATGGTGCCGCTTGCTTGGTGGTGTTGCAGACTCTGGGGCCTTTCACAACAGGTGTATATATACTGAGATCATGTGACAGATCATGTGACACTTAGATTGCACACAGGTGGACTTTATTTCACTAATTATGTGACTTCTGAAGGTAATTGGTTGCACCAGATCTCATTTAGGGGCTTCATAGCAAAGGGGGTGAATACATATGCACACACCACTTTTCCGTTATTTATTTTTTAGAATTTCTTGAAACAAGTTATTTTTTTTCATTTCACTTCAACAATTTGGTCCAATTCATGTCCATTACATGAAATCCAAATAAAAATCAATTTAAATTACAGGTTGTAATGCAACAAAATAGGAAAAACGCCAAGGGGGATGAATACTTTTGCAGCTTATAAAGTTGGTAAGTTTCTCTTTTGCTAATGACTTGTCAACACCAGTCTGTCCCATTTTGTCTCGATTAGTCTGTCTCTTATTTCCTATCCACATCTGTCCCTCTGTCTGCCTGTGCAGCCCGTCTGAAAGAGCAGCTGTCTGCGCTGCAGCAGGAGAGTGATGAGGAGCAGCGGGCCTCCAGAAGGGAGGTGATGCGGCCAGGCCTGCCTGGACAGGGACGAGTCCCGAGAGGAGGTGCAGAGACTGGGGGAGGCCCTGGAGGTTGCCACCGCCTCCAAGGTACCCGGACCCTCCACATCCCATCTCTCTTCAACACACACAGTCTTTATGTCAGCGTTTACCCACCTTTTATTTACTAATACAACCCAGATGATGAGTATATGGCAAATCTAGCCATTTTCTGATATTTAGATAATAACCCTAACAGTTCTGGTATTGTTGTTGCAGATGGATGTGGCTCTGGCTGCAGAGGAGCTGAAGATGGTCAAAGTCCAGATGAGTGAGAAGCTGCTGCAGGTGCGGTCACTGTAGGGGCATCATGGGACAGGGTGGTGGAGTAGGGGATGTCACATGGCCATCTGACAGAGAAGAGAGTACATGACGCTTGATACACCTGTTTACCTAAACCAAACAACCCTTCAACTCTAATGACCCCTGACCTTTTTAGCTGAAGGATCAGATGTCCCAGGAGTCTGCTCGGTCTTTTCAGAACGAGAAATCCCACAGTGCACTGCTCCAGAGGGTGGAGGAGATGGAGAGAGTGGTGGAGAAGGAGAGAAGACAGGTACAGTAGGTGTGACGTAATACAGATTGAGGAAAAGAAAAAGAAAACAGAGAACCATTGATATCCTGTCCCTCTCTGACCCCAGGCCCAGACAGTGCAGGCAGACTGCCATGCCCTGCGTTCTGATGGACAGGCCACCAGACAGGGACTAGAAGAGGAGAAGGACAGAGGCCACAGGCTGCAGGAGCAATGTGAGCAGCTCAAAGGGCAGGCAGGTCAGCAACACTGCATTATGGGAGTTTAAGTTTCTCTGGATGTTTTCATATTATGCTGTACAGTGTGGTCCCATCATTTGATATGTTAGTGTTCCTGAATGACAGATTTCATGTAGACAATTACAGTGGGGAAAAAAAGTATTTAGTCAGCCACCAATTGTGCAAGTTCTCCCACTTAAAAAGATGAGAGGCCTGTAATTTTCATCATAGGTACACGTCAACTATGACAGACAAATTGAGAGAAATAAAATCCAGAAAATCACATTGTAGGATTTTTAATGAATTTATTTGCAAATTATGGTGGAAAATAAGTATTTGGTCACCTACAAACAAGCAAGATTTCTGGCTCTCACAGACCTGTAACTTCTTCTTTAAGAGGCTCCTCTGTCCTCCACTCGTTACCTGTATTAATGGCCCCTGTTTGAACTTGTTATCAGTATAAAAGACACCTGTCCACAACCTCAAACAGTCACACTCCAAACTCCACTATGGCCAAGACCAAAGAGCTGTCAAAGGACACCAGAAACAAAATTGTAGACCTGCACCAGGCTGGGAAGACTGAATCTGCAATAGGTAAGCAGCTTGGTTTGAAGAAATCAACTGTGGGAGCAATTATTAGGAAATGGAAGACATACAATCTCCCTCGATCTGGGGCTCCACGCAAGATCTCACCCCGTGGGGTCAAAATGATCACAAGAACGGTGAGCAAAAATCCTAGAACCACACGGGGGGACCTAGTGAATGACCTGCAGAGAGCTGGGACCAAAGTAACAAAGCCTACCATCAGTAACACACTACGCCGCCAGGGACTCAAATCCTGCAGTGCTAGACGTGTCCCCCTGCTTAAGCCAGTACATGTCCAGGCCTGTCTGAAGTTTGCTAGAGTGCATTTGGATGATCCAGAAGAGGATTGGGAGAATGTCATATGGTCAGATGAAACCAAAATATAACTTTTTGGTAAAAACTCAACTCGTCGTGTTTGGAGGACAAAGAATGCTGAGTTGCATCCAAAGAACACCATACCTACTGTGAAGCATGGGGGTGGAAACATCATGCTTTGGGGCTGTCTTTCTGCAAAGGGACCAGGATGACTGATCCGTGTAAAGGAAAGAATGAATGGGGCCATGTATCGTGAGATTTTGAGTGAAAACCTCCTTCCATCAGCAAGGGCATTGAAAATGAAACGTGGCTGGGTCTTTCAGCATGACAATGATCCCAAACACACCGCCCGGGCAACGAAGGAGTGGCTTCGTAAGAAGCATTTCAAGGTCCTGGAGTGGCCTAGCCAGTCTCCAGATCTCAACCCCATAGAAAATCTTTGGAGGGAGTTGAAAGTCTGTGTTGCCCAGCGACAGCCCCAAACCATCACTGCTCTAGAGGAGATCTGCATGGAGGAATGGGCCAAAATACCAGCAACAGTGTGTGAAAACCTTGTGAAGACTTACAGAAAACGTTTGACCTGTGTCATTGCCAACAAAGGGTATATAACAAAGTATTGAGAAAGTTTTGTTATTGACCAAATACTTATTTTCCACCATAATTTGCAAATAAATTCATTAAAAATCCTACAATGTGATTTTCTGGATTTTTTTCCCTCATTTTGTCTCTCATAGTTGACGTGTACCTATGATGAAAATTACAGGCCTCTCTCATCTTTTTAAGTGGGAGAACTTGCACAATTGGTGGCTGACTAAATACTTTTTTCCCCACTGTAAATGGTTGATCGCTTCATCCTTTTACAGAGGTGAAAGAGACTCTTGTTTTGGAGTTGACAGGTGAACTAAAAGTAAGTGCCAGCACTTGAGTGATATCAATCAACTGTGTTGAATGTGTGTACCTGAGTGTGTATTGTGTGTGTACCTGATTGTGTATGCAGATTGTGTGTGTTAATTAGTGTGTATTGTGTATGCAGAGTGCACGACTAGCCCTGCAGCAGCAGGAGAACAGCAGGTTACTGAGAGATGGAGATCTGAGGACTGCAGCTGACAAAGTCCAGGTCAGTGGCCCACCTCAGAATATACATACTAGGGCTGAACGATTAATTGCATTCGCGATAATATCGCGATTTGACTGAACGCGATTTTCTAATCGCAACGTGCGCGATTTGAGGTGGTCACGTGACGCGACTTTTCATGCTGTCCAGCGCAATGGCCTCTTGCTCGACGGAACAGTCAGAAACTGACACAGCTGATACTTTAATATCGAAGAGGAACAGCACGTCGGTGGTGTGGAACTATTTTGGTTTTAAAAAAGAAGATGCTGAGCAGCGTCAGGTGTTGTGCAGAGCATGCCGTGCTCCGATTGCTACTTCACGGGGTAACACTACAAACCTGTTTCAGCACTTAAAAAAATACCACAAATCAATGCATGACAGTTGTATGACCAAAATGCCGAGCATCAGTGCGCGAGACAAGCCAAATACCTCAAGACAGGGATCACTGACAGAAATGTTCGAAAGTGTCACTCCGTATGAACGTAATTCAAAACGGCACGGAGAAATCACTCGGACAATAACCGAGTTCATAGCCAAAGATATGATGCCTCTCAGCACGGTGACCAAGCCTGGGTTCATGGCATTAATACATACGCTTGATAAACGTTACAGTATACCCTCCCGCACATACTTCAGTCAGACTGCCATACCGGAGCTGTACAAAAAGTGCAAAGAGAAAGTCGCCGCGGAACTTAAAACGGTGGAGTTTTTTGCTAGCACTACTGATATGTGGTCAAGCCGCACAGCTGAGCCGTACCAGAGTCTTACAGTCCATTTTATTGATGAAGATTTCAACCTCCGAGCTCGCTGCCTACAAACTACCTACTTCCCAGACGATCACACAGGGGAAAATATTGCAGCCGGCCTGAGAGAAGGGCTTGTCAGCTGGGATCTCCACGAGGAGAATCACGTCTGCATCACGACGGACAACGCGTCGAATATGGTGCTTGCTGCGCGGCTTAATGAATGGACGAGGCTCCAATGTTTTGGCCACAGATTACATCTTGCCATTGGTAAGTTATCGTGTGTGTGTGTGTGTGTGTGTGTGTGTGTGTGTGTGTGTGTGTGTGTGTGTGTGTGTGTGTGTGCGCGAGTGCGAGAGAGAGAGATGCGTCGATTAGTAAAGCTGAATATACAAATATATATAAATGATATTATATAAATCGGATGGGATTAAATAAATTCATACTTCCACTCCTTTTCTAATATGTAAATTCATTTTACTTGCTTATATCATATGTCTGTCTGTGGTGGAATGCCCACCTGCATTTTTTTTCTTTTCTTGTTTTTGTTTTTTACATGTTTTTTTAGTGTTTATGAGAGAGAGAGAGAGAAAGAGAGAGAGAATTGACATGCAAATAAAGACCCTTTGAATTGAGAGAGAGAGAGAGGATGTGTTGTGGATGTGTGTATTTCAGAATTACAGCTAATTTGAGTGTGTAATAGTGAGAGCCTTGTATCAAAACTCAAATTGTGTGTAATACACTACTTTTTATTTCTTTTAGAAAATGCACTCAAAGATGACAGAGTGTCAAGGGCAACAGCACTGTGCAGGAAGCTGGTGGGGCACTTTTCCCACAGTTGGAAGAAGAAAGCAGCCCTGACGGAGGCACAGAGAGAGCTCAAACTCCCTGAGCACAACCTCATAACGGAGTGCCCAACAAGATGGGGTTCTAAAGAAATGATGATTGCCAGAGTGCTTGAACAGGCCAAAGCCATTTCTCAGGTATTGTCTGGAGATCGATATGCACGCTCCCTTATCCCAACCTGGCAGGATATTGACGTGTTGGAGTCGATTCACAAGGCACTGCATCCTCTACTGGAGTTTACTGATGCTCTTTCTGGAGAGGAGTATGTAAGCATCTCCTACCTCAAGCCAGTTCTCCACCTTTTTGCCACATCAGTCCTGGCTGAAGATGCTGAGGACACTGACCTGACTAAATCAATAAAAACCAAAGTCCTAGCATACCTCAATAACAAATATGGAGACCCAAACATCCAGGAGCTTTTGGATGTTGCCTGTTTCCTGGACCCTAGGTTCAAAATACAGTACATCAGTACAGACAACATCCCTGCTATCAAGACTCGTCTGAAGACAGAGATAGTAGACTTGGCACAACGTACATATCATTGGGTAAATAATTATGTATTTCACAAAAACAAAAATTTTCTGTAAAATCTAACTGGAAAACTAATGGCTGTTGTTTTCATCTAATAGGAGAAGAGGTCTCGTACTGAAACTGTTCAGATGCCTCAAAGTGCACAGTCCTTGGGGGAAAAGACGAAGAGGTCTCTTGGCAGTTTTTTCAAGACCAGTTCAGCCTCTCCTTCTTTGCCTGTAAATCTTGAAGATGTCGCAGAGGCAGAGATAAACAATTACCTGATGACTCCTACCATTGATGGAGAAGATGATCCATTGGCTTGGTGGAGGGTGCACAAGATCAGCTACCCACAGTTGTGCACCATGGCACGCAAGTATCTTTGTGTACCTGCTACAAGCGCTCCCTCAGAGCGTCTTTTTAGCACAGGAGGGAATATTGTGACTTGCACTCGCTCAGCCTTGAAGCCAGAAAAAGTCAATATTCTGGTTTTCTTAGCAAAAAACCTGTGAGCCACTGAGAACAGAACTGTTGGATAAGTATGGCTGGCAGTGCCATACTCGTAGTGAACTTTAGTCTGTGTGGTGTGTTATTGTTGTGTACTTGAGATAAGTGAGGCTCATCTATTTTATATTATAATATTCAAATCGTTTATAAAAAATAGTTTGTCTAAATTAAAAGTGCATTTCTCATTTTTTATTTATAACTTTATTTACTTTGATTTTACAAAATATTTTCAAAGCAAATTCCTTGTTTCAGTTGTGTGAAATGTTACTGACTTGGGAGCAGTAAGATACATACAATTTAAAATTATTTTTTTCTTAAGACTGTACCTTTTGCACACAGTGTTTACAAAGTTCATGCCTTTGTTTAAATTATTTAAATGCACAGTGGCAAAGCCACAGATGTTTCTGTAATGAGCAGTTCAATAAAAATGTCATTTATTTCAAGTCATACATGTTTGAATTTAATTCTAACAAATAGACCCAGCCTATGGGAAAGAACATTTCACACTAAATGTATATACTATTGTGTTGGTCATATTTAAATCATTCATTATGTTTTGTAGGGGAAAAAGGATAAATAAATTAAATCGCATATTAAATCGCAATCGCAATATTGGGGGCAAAAAATCGCAATTAGATTATTTTCCAAAATCGTTCAGCCTTAATACATACTATACATTAAAGACCATTATAAACTGTGTGGTTGGAGCCCTGAATGCTGATTGGCTGAAAGCCGTGGTATACCACGGGTATGACAAAACATTTATTTTGACTCCTCTAATTACGTTGGTTACCTGTTTATAATAGCAATAAGGCACCTCGGGGGTTTGTGGTATATGGCCAATATACCACGGCTAAGGGCTATATCCAGGCACTCCGCGTTGCATCGTGCATAAGAACACCCCCTCATGCCTTATTGCTTAATTATACCATGGCATTGTTGAATACTTATTTCTCATTGGCTTGAAGGGCATTGTAGAGCATGCATTATTTCCCTATAACGCACAGTATATTTGCACGGTAGAATTCAATAGCTATAGTTAATTCTTACATGTTTGAGCTGCTTTTGAAAGCAAAAGTAGACTTGAAAACATTATTGGCATTGTTGAAAATCAATTTTTATAATGGCAAGTCTCTTTGTTTGGTTACCACGGCAACTTCTGTAGCTATCTAGTAAACTTGCTAGCTTCTTCATTGGATGTTGAACACATTTCTACTGGCAAATGAACACATTTGTAGCTGCAAATGTGGTCAATTATAGCCATTGTATAAAAGGGATAATCAACTCGGGACTCTATGCGTTCTCTGGAAAATAATGCAACTGTGTGGAAGGTCAGTTCCACTCCACTGGCGTGTCATGGAACCAGTGGCGGCTCCTGAAAAAATTCTCAGGAGGGGCAATTTTTCTGATGATTTAGGTGACCTACACACATTTTTAAAAAGATATGTCCAGCAACAACATGAAGACAGGGGCAGCATATAAGTCAATACCAGAAGCATTTATTGACTGATCTCAAAAGTGTTGGCTTACAAAAGCAAAATAAGTTATCACAGTAAAAATAATCAAGGGTGTTCTTTCACATTCCTCAACACTGCATAAACAATATGTATGGCTTTGTAAAAATGAACAACCATATTCTGGCCAATTGTATAGATTTGTAAATATGAACAACCATATTCTGGCCAATTGTATAGATTTGTAAAAATGAACATGAACAGATTTTTTATTTTTTTGAATGGCAGTACCTTTCAAACATGTCTGCTTGCAGTAAGGTAGCACTCACAAGGTGGCCAGAGAAAGAGAACCTTTCTTTGGTGTGATCCAGGATGGTGTTGCAGACCTCTTCAGACAGCCTCTGCTTCTCCTCTTCTCTCAAAGCTGTTCTGGGTCTTTTGGCTCCTGTTGCTTCTTGCAGCTGCTGTTGAGAGGAGTCCCTGAAGGCAAACAGACCAATGTGTTTGTTGGCTTTGTACAGTATTGTTGTCTATGTGATGCACAGGTATATGCAATGTATCCATGTATAGTACAAATACTTCAGTTCCACTTAAAATGGGCAGGGATGCATAAAGTCTTTAGTGTTTAAGTTAGCCTTTGTGTCTCACATAGCCTGGATGTTCAGCACAGTATACAGTGGTGCTCATAAGCTTATGATCCCATGCTAAAGTTGACTAAAAAGAGGAATAAAAAAGAAAAGAAAATTGGTGTCCTTAAAGGTTGGATTTTCCAACTTTTTTAATTAAGTCATTAAGATCAATTTCCAAAAGATGATTTTTTTATTCCTCTTTTTAGTCAGCTTTAGAATGTGTTCATACACTTATGAGCACCACTGTACAGTACACATAGTATATAAAATAAGATAGATTACACCACTGGCCATATATAATGACAATAATGTAATTTCAAACACAAATGCAGTCTCCTTTCATGCATACATTTTCAAATAAAGCTCTGCTTTGAGAAAGATCGAATGATATTGTTTAATCTTTATCTTACCTTATGGCCTGCACACTGCTTGCGAAGCTGTCGAGGGCACGTTTGATAAAGACAGCATCGATGTCCTTATTCTGTAGCTTCTGGTTCGGTGGGCTGGTCAAATGAACCCAATGAACCCGTCCGGATGGCTTCAAAACATTCTATGAGGTCGTCTCGATTCTCGTAGACAGTGTTCACGACTCTGCTGTTGCTAACCTCATCGTTGTGGCGGCGGACAGCTAGCCTGTATCCCTCATCCAGTTGAGTGGCAATATTCACTCTCACCAAAGCAGACAATCTCAAACAGCTATCAATGTGGGTCTTTGACAGCTCATTTTTCTTAATCTTTTCTGAAAGATGGTGCATGTCGGTTACACCAGTCGCTGTCCAAGCGTTGCTGTCTGCCGTTCATGGTTACGTTACGTTACGTATGACGAAAGCGCGTAAGTGCAAGCCCTCAGACACCCATAGAGAATGTATTGAAAGCTCAGAAATTTGAAAAAAAAATATTTTACATTAGAGGCTATGAGAGACTTCTGGGCGATTTTCAACCTGACTGAAATCGCCCCAAAACGGGCGGGGACATTTGAAGCACGACTTTAGCCTGATTGGACATTTAGTGGCTGGCAGATCAGACGTGAACACTGAACTACTGTTGCCATGATATAATTGATTAGAAAAAAAATCCCTTCCTTTTCCCGTTTGGCAGTGCGTCGCCCATATCGCCCTATTGAACACACCGCCCATGCATGGAACACACCTTCCACGTCGTTCATTATTTTCCAAAGAATGCATAGCCCCTCATTGATTATCCCTTATTTATTTAACAATAGATTGCAGTATACAGTATTTATAAGACCATGTGTAGATGACCACTTAATCTGTATCCATACCCATTGGATGCGGTGATCACAATATAGTGGCTATATCTAGGAGAACCAAGGTTCCAAAAGCTGGGCCTAATATTGTGTATAAGAGATCATACAAACGTTTTTGCTGCGACTCCTATGTGGATGATGTAAAAAAATATTTGTTGTTCTGATGTGATTTAATAAGGAGCATCCAGACGCTGCACTTGATGAGTTTCTGAAATTGCTTCTTACAATTATTGATAAACATGCACCTGTTAAGAAACTGACTGTTAGAACTGTTAAGGCTCTGTGGATTGTTGAAAGAGATTGGGCAAAAGGAGGGGCTAACAAGTCTGGCTGCACATCTGACTGACTGACTTACTGCAAATTGCGAAATTATGTGACTAAATTTAACAAAAATAAAAATAAACTGTATTATGATGGAATGATGGAAAACTGTGGCTTACTTTAAATGAAATTATTAATCACACAACCGTTTGATGTTGCCAATTATTTTAATGATTACTTAATTGGCATACTTAAGCAGGAAAGGCCAACAATGAACAGTGAGCCATTGTATTCATGCATAAAAAAAACAAATAATTAAAGAAAAGCATTGTAAGTTAGAATTTTGTAATGTTAGTGTGGGACAGGTGGAAAAAGTATTGTTATTGATCAATAATGACAAACCTCTTGGCATTGACAACTTAGATGGAAGGCTACTGAGGATGGTAGCTGACTCTATGGCCACTCCTATCTGTCATATATTTAATCTGAGTCTAGAAGAAGGTGTTTGTCCTCAGGCCTGGAGGGAAGCCAAAGTCATTCCGCTACCCAAGACTGGTAAACTGGCTTTTACTGGTTCTAACAGCAGACCTAGAAGCTTACTGCCAGCTCTTAGCAAACTGTTGGAAAAAATTGTGTTTGACCAAATACAATGCTATTTCTCTGTAAACAAATTGACAACAGACTTTCAGCATGCTTATAGAGAAGGGCACTCAACATGTACTGCACTGACACAAATGATTGGTTGAAAGAAATTGATAATAAAAAGATTGTGGGAGCTGTACTGTTAGGTTTCAGTGCAGCCTTTGATATTATTGACCATAACCTGTTGTTGAGAGAACTTATGTGTTATGTATTTTCAACCTCAGCTCTGAATCCATGTTATGGCAATCTATCTAATAGAACTCAATAGGCTTTTCTTTAATGGAAGCTTCTCTAATGTCAAACATTTAGGGTGTGGTGTACCGCAGATCAGTTCTCTTAGCCCTCTACTTTTTTCTATTTTTACCAATGACATGCCACTGGAATTAAACAAAGCCTGTGTGTCTATGTATGCTGATGATTCAACCATATACGTTTCAGCAACCACAGCTAATGAAGTCACTTAACTTCAACGCTTAACAAGGAGTTGCAGTCAGTTTTGGAATGGGTGGCCAGTAATAAACTGATCCTGAACATCTTTAAAACTAAGAACATTGTATTTGGTACAAATTATTCCCTAAACTCTAGACCTCAGCTGAATCTGGTAATGAATGGTGTGACTGTTGAACAAGTTGAGGAGACAAAATTACTTGGTGTTACCTTAGATTGTAAATTGTCATGGTTAAAACATATACAGTACCAGTCAAAAGTTTGGACACACCTCCTCACTCAAGGGTGTTTCTTTATTTGTACTATTTTCTACATTGTAGAATAAAAGTGAAGACATCAAAACTATGAAATAACACATATGGAATCATGTAGTAACCAAAAAAGTGTTAAACAAATCAAAATATATTTTATATTTGAGATTCTTCAAATAGCCACCCTTTGCCTTTATGACAGCTTTGCACACTCTGTGTGGACCCCAGGCTTTCGCAACAGCTAATGGGGATCCTAATAAAATACCCCCCAGAAATACCAATCATGTATAGATCTCAGGGGTATAGGAATAAATGGTGACTTTTTACTCTTTCATTCCCCCTCTTTCTCTCTGTTACATAGGTGTTTAACAAGCAGTTGGAGAGTCAGTGCTCTGAGTTGAGTTCTGCCCTACGTTCTCTTTCTGTGGAGAAATCCAAGCTACAGACTGAACACCAGGCTAGCATTAAGGTACTGCCTCTAGCCCGCTTCTCTCACACACACACACACACACACACACACACACACACACACACACACACACACACACACACACTAGTACAGGCTACATGTTATTCTATTCCTGTGTCTCTCTCAGGCAGAGAGGAGTCGTGTGGCCAAGCAGCTGCATGAGCAAGACCTCCTGCTGGAAGAAGCCAGACGCAACATCCAGGCAGAACTGAAGGGGGCGCTATCAGCTAAAGTTAAATTGCAGATGGAGCTGTGGGTGCTAAAGTTAACTGCTAATACTCATAGGAATGAATAATCTCTATGAATAAGGAATGAATAGGATCTCAATGATAATGCTAGCCACACACATCCACACCTCTCTTTATGCTCCACAGGGAGACTCTGAAGGTTGACCACGCCCAACTTCTGCAGAGTTCCACAGTTGCCCAAGAGACCGTTGTCACTCAGCGGGAGCTGTTGGAGCGTACCATTGAGAGGTTGCGAGGGGATCTGGACTCGGCTGTAAAGGAAGGGGAGGTCGTGAGGACAGACAGGGACAGTGCAAAGACTGAGGTGCAGCTGCCATGTCTCTTAGAAAATACATAGCCTAAGAGTACAAGGTTGTTAAAGCTTAACTGGGCTTTGCATTGTCTCTTTTTATAGTGTCTGTGGATGTTCTTAAATGTTACAGTATGTCCCTATCTCTCTGTCTTTGGGTCACAGATGTGCATTGTGGTCACCAAGCTAGAGTGTGAGAGGAGTGCTCTGGAAACGCAACTTGCTAAAGTCAAGGTACTGTACTGCCAAAGCTCTCTGATAATCTCTGACAACGATTCAGACTGATCTCAGACCTTCATGAAAATGGCCTACACATTAACAGTGAACACACTTCGTGTCCGAATCTGACCATAGCTTCCTTAACTGTCCTCTGTCCACTTTGCATCCTGTGTGATTGACAGTTGGAGGCAGGCACTCTGAGCTCCACCTTGCAGAAGCAGGAGGAAGAGAACAGGAGGCTCATGGGAAAGCTGGTTGCCATGGAGCACCAGCAGGTGAGAGATCCATTCAGTATCTACAGACTGGGGTCACATCACTTTCAATCTGTCCATCCATAGTGAATTTGTGTATGTAACATACTTTCTCTATTATTTTCTTTCTTCATCCTGACAATTTCCTCTTTCCCCTCACCTCTCAACGCATGGTGTCCTCTTTACCCAGAATGCTCAGCAGCAGGTGGAGCAGATGCTGAAGGAGCTGACGGACATTAAGAACAACCTGGCCTATGAGAAAGGGAAGCTACAGGTAAGGAGTTTACACTAAAACCAGTGGTGGAAAAAGTACACAATTAGTATCAAAAGTAAAAGTATACATTATTTCAAATTCCTTATACTAAGCAAACCAGACGGTACAATTTTCTTGTTTCTTTAATTTACGGATAGCCAGGGGCACACTCCAACACTCAGACATAATTTACAAACTAAGCATGTTTATTTAGTGAGTCTGCCAGATGAGAGACAGTAGGGATGACCAGGGATGTTCTCTTGATAAGTGCGTGAATTGGACCATTTTCCTGTCCTGCTAAGCATTCAAAATGTGTCAGGAAAATGTATGGAGTAAAAAGTACATTATTTTCATTAGGAATGTAGTGAAGTAAAAGTAGTCAACAATATAAAAATGATAGTACAGATACCCCCCAAAAACTACTGAAGTAGTACTTTATTGGTATTTTTACTTAAGTACTTTACACCACTGACTAAAACACACCGACCACACCTGTTGATGTGTGTGCGTTCATGTATCCTCATGTTGAAGTGTATTTCCTCCTAATGCTCTTCCTCTCAACTAGACCAGGGTAGATCAACTTCAGGAGGAGCTGCAAGCTTTAAGGGACACCCATGTAGAAAGTGTCCAACAACACAAGCTGAGCTCTGTGTTAGAGGACAAGTACACACAGGTACACACACTCATGGTAGTAATGTATTCATGTGGTAATGTAGTAATGTGTTCATATGTCAAAAACAAGTTGACTCCATAACATACACCTGTCTACTCCCCTACAGGTCAGCTCTGAAATGAGCACCCTGAAGACAACCTGTCATAAACTGGAGGCTCAGCTCAGACAGGCCCAGGCTGCAGTCCAGGTGAAGGAGGGGGAGGTGACGTCAGTGGTGGCAGCCAGAGACGAGGCTCTGAGGGACAGCCGGACCCTGAGGGGACAACTGGACAAACTGCAGGAGCAGCACGGGGACAAGGTCAGAGGAATAGTAAAATGGTTACCCAACCTGGGTCCTGGAGAGTCTTTTGTTCAAGATATTTTTACATTTACATTTTAGTCATTTAGCAGACACTCTTATCCAGAGCGACTTAAAGGAGCAATTAGGGTTAAGTGCCTTGCTCAAGGGCACATCGACAGATTTTTCACCTAGTCGGCTTGGGGATTAGAACCAGCGACCTTTCGGTTACTGGCACAACGCTCTTAACCACTAAGCTACCTGATTCTGCTCTGTGTATTTGTCCTGTAGCTGTGTGAGCTGGAGGGCTGGCTGGGTGTCTCCCGTCAGGGTGGGGGCAGTGTGGCTCAGACCCTGGAGAACGTTTTGGCCTCCCACTCCCATCTGCAACACAACACTGAGACGGTACAGAAGGAGCTGGGGGGACAAGAGCAGGAGCTGGCCTCACTCAGGAGAGACAGGTAGGTGTCTGTCTGTCTGTATTGTGCATGTATATGGGTGTATGTTTGAACAACCCATGTGTTTGTCAGACTGCAGAGTCAGAGAGAGATTGAAACTACAGGCAGAGGTGGAGAAGCTCCAAGACATCATGGCAACAACTCACTCCAAGATAAACAAAATGGTAACTACATCATTAATGTCTCATAAACACACATATAGCAACAAACGGCTCTTAGCTTTTAGTAGTAATAGTAGTTTACAAAGATATATTTGATTCTCTAGCTGGAGACCTTGCATAAGGCCCTGGTCGTGGCAAGGCTGGACAACAAGAAACTAGCCCAGAGTTTAGAGCAGGCTGTGTTGGCCAACAGCACTCTACAGGCCAAACTGGACCGAGCCAGAGACCAACACCAGAACACCATCACACAGAGGTAACTAACTAGGACTAATGTGGATAGTGGGGGTTTATTTTAGTGTGGTTTAATTATGTGAAAACTTACATGGTTACTTAGCATGAATGTGACATTCATGACTAAATTTTGCACGTGTACCAGAGAGGTGGAGCTGGCTGAAGCCAGGGCAGAGATTGGTCGATGGTCAGAGCATCTGGAATCTATGAAGCTTCAGATGAGGAAAGAGAGGGACTCAGTGAAGAGGTTGTCACAGAGAGAAATCTCAGAGGTACTGCACTCTTTCTCACACACTCCATCGCTTCTGTCCATCATCAGTCAGAACTCTGAAATAACATCCTGCCTCTTTCCTCATCCCTCTTTATTACTCTCTTTCCCTTCTGTTTGTGTGTCTCTCTTCAGATGAGAAAAGCTCTTGAGGACTCGTCATCTAGGTCAGCTGACCTCTCCAGGGCCAATCTGGAGCTGCGGGAGAAGATGTCTGAGTTGGAGAAAGTGGTGTCCAATCAGAAAGCCCGTCTCAGAGATCAGAAGACGCAGCTCAAGCAACTTGCTCCTAACAATGCAGTAAAATGTCAAACACAAATAGTCAACAACAAAAAAGACTACAAGAAATCTTGAAATGTCTGACTATAAACATTCTGAGCAAATAATGTAAGAAATAACACACACCAAAAAAGAATACTGCAAAGTTGGCTACGAGCTAGAAACAGGGTGGCTGTGTCTGTCAGCGCCATCTTGTGGACAAGCACCTGCTAAACCATATTATATCCTCTTTGTCACTCATGCTCTCCTCCCATTTGCTCCCAGGACATGGAGGGAGAACTAAAGATCCTCAAGACCTTGAAGGATCAGTATCAAAAGAAGAACTATGAGCAGGTAGGACACCTCACACACACTTTATACACTTGTGGATGTTTACAGGATGGTATACATCAGTCACCATTGTCCTGTCTGTTTCCAGAGTGAGTTGATCCAGCAGTTCCGGTCCGAGACCTTATCCCTCCAGCGGGAGCTACGGCGCCTGTCCTCCAGCCAGGAGGGGGAGCTAGAGGCTGAGAGGGAGCTGAGACACGTCATGCAAGACAAGTGTCAGGTTAGCAGGGGTTAAGTATCTCTGTTAGTCATAAGCTAGCCTCGCTTAAGTCAATGGTTTTAAATGGCTTAATTGAATCTCCTTTACTTCTTGACTTTGAAGCTTTGATGCCGTTTTGAGAGACAGCCATGTCTGTTTTTAAAATCTGCAAATGTGTGTTTCTGTGTTCGTTTGTCCTAGCAGAGGCTGGAGGAGAGAATCAAGAACATGCAGAGGCCAAAGACGAGGCAGAGCAGAAAATGAAAGAGGTCAGCCTGGAGTCACAGCAGGTAAGACTCCCTCTACCACCCGGAGTCACAGCAGGTAAGACTCCCTCTACCACCCGGAGTCACAGCAGGTAAGGCTCCCGCCACCACCCGGAGTCACAGCAGGTAAGGCTCCCTCAACCACCCGGAGTCACAGCAGGTAAGACTCCCTCTACCACCCGGAGTCACAGCAGGTAAGGCTCCCGCCACCACCCGGAGTCACAGCAGGTAAGGCTCCCTCAACCACCCGGAGTCACAGCACGTAAGACTCCCTCCACCACCCGGAGTCACAGCAGGTAAGGCTCCCTCAACCACCCGGAGTCACAGCAGGTAAGACTCCCTCCACCACCCGGAGTCACAGCAGGTAAGACTCCCTCTACCACCCGGAGTCACAGCAGGTAAGACTCCCTTTACCACCTGGAGTCAAGACAATCTTATTTGTTCTGCTCCCTCATCTTCAACACCTCTTGCTTGTTCATTAATTATCTCACTCTGTATCTCCCTGTCTGTTGTCTGTTAACTGTGTGCACATAAATAGCCCCTGACGGGTTAGTAAAGTTGAACTGAATTGGAATTCTCCTGACATCATACTTGTCCCCACACTCCGATATCAGAGAACCTAGAGGAAGCTCACAGTTGGTTCCGGTCCAAGTTTGACAGCCTGAAGAGTGATGGAGAGCCAAACAGGTCTATGGGGGATGAGGAACCGCAAGAGAATGTACACCATCCCCCGGGGAGCAGTAAAGGGGGTGCACACAGTTCATCATGCAAACACAACAGAAAGGTACTTTTCTCTCGTGTCCCTTTATCAACACTCACTAATAATGCCATGAGTCTGCAGTCCTCTCAGCTTTTAATGCATTCTTTGTCTGGTATTTCAGTGGTACCTCTTTACCACAGTTCTCCCAAAGTGACACCATTAAACTCAATGAAAGATAGACTATAGAGTGTTAGGAAGTGCTAAAATCACTGAGTGAAAAGTATGTCTTAACTGCCTGTGAAATTCAGAGAATTGTCCAATCCGTAGGAGTAAGAATTACAGCTATTCATTAACTTATCAAATATTTAAGTCCTCACACCCTCTGAGAAAGCCTCTTAGCTCTAAAAGCACTATCGGGTAAATGTTTGGTTCTCTAGAGGGGGTTGAAAGAGCTGAGAATGTTCTCGGTTGCAGGCACAGACTATTCGCATTTTTCAGGGAAGGAGATTTCTAATAAAAATGAGGTATTGAGTAAATTTGCTGTACAAAAATGTCTCATTGTAGTGGCGATTTTAAGCGCTCCACCGAAGTTAAGAAAGACGTGCAGAACTATAGCTGGAAAAACATATAATCAAGGCTGGAACCCATCCAATTTTATATTTCTGAATTACGGTCACGACTTTGCCCTGAGCATTTTTATAAGCACATACCTTATTGAAGCCACTTGGTGGGAATGTTAAGCACAGTTCTATGATCCAAATAACTTTGTCAGACACTTTATGAAAATGGCCTGAGGTGTTTGTCTCAATGGGTTTATTCTGTGTCTTGTCAAAGAGAGTGGTGTTGTCTTACAGACAGTTACCCAGCGGCTATGGGGATGTGTACCTGAACAGGGGATGAGAGTGGTTCCGGATGTAGACTCATAAGTTCTCTATTTTATTCTTGTCATGTTCCAGACTCGGTGTGACAGTAGGCCTTCAGAACCTCCAGAGTGGGAGAGATGGCGATCCACCATGCAACGCTGGGAGACCAAGAGAGAGCTGGCTCGCATTGCAAGTGGATACAAACCTGGTGGGACACATGCCTTAACACACTGACACACGCAACAAGACACGCATACTGTATAGTGCATACACACACAACAAGACACGCATACTGTATAGTGCATACACACACACACACATAACTACTGGACCAAGGCACATGGAGAAACCAGCCCCTCACACAGTGATCCCATTTATTTATTTAAAACATTGAACAGCAAGAAATATGAGAGAGCACTAGCAGGCACATATGAGATAGCAGCCACATGTATGAGATGGCAGCCACATATATGATATAGCAGCCACATGTATGAGATGGCAGCCACATGTATGAGATGGCAGCCACATATATGAGATAGCAGCCACATATATGAGATAGCAGCCACGTAAATGAGATGGCAGCTGAATGCTGAGAACTGTGTGATGTCATCCTTTTATCTCAGTCTTAACTGTGTAAAGCTGGTTTGAACATGCTGTTTTCAGAATAAGAACTGTACAATTATAATTTATACAAAGATTGTTCTTATTTTTAGATTCTTTATACAAAATTATATATTTTTTTATATCACTGTGTACAAATGTTTTTTTTTTTTCTCTGACTTGACTGGATTCACAGTTTTGTATGTACAGCATGTAGATTATTTGTTATGACCATAAAATGTCAATCATATTGATCCTTCCTTTGAAAGCTTATTGGCTGTGCAGACCAGGCCAGGGGCATTCAGAGTTCATCAGAGCGAGTATGTGCTGTATCAAGGAAGGCCCTGGAGTTAACATAATCCTATAGGAAGGGCTCTGAGTCCATAATGTCCAATAGAAATGGCTCTCAGTTTAAGTTGTCCAATAGGATATATGAAGTTGTTCAACAGGACCATGCTTCCATCTTAGAAACACAATCTTCTTGCTAAAGAATCCATACTCTAGGGTGTGACAGTGAGACATGGGGTTGTGGGGAGATTGGAGTCTCCGGTGGATCGAGAAGCATAGTTCACCATGATGTACACTAAGGTAGGAGTGGAGGGATGAAGGGTTTAGGTGGACCATGATGTTCCATCACTATTCTTTGGCACTTTGGCCACTGGACACACACACTTAGCTACATATCCTGAAGAAAAGGTCACTATGGATTCAACTCTCATAAAAAAGGGACCTTCAAAACCATACAAACACACACATACTCATAGTAACACCATTCCAATGATGTCCACAAGGCCAAGACGAGACAAGAAACAACAGTCAAGATGAACAAGGTCTCCACAGCGGAGACCACTTCTCTGTTCAGCCACTTGAGGGCAGCATGGCAGCATGGTGTCCACTATTTACCTCATAGAAAAGACTCACAAAAACATTGGCAGGCAACACACTGATCCCAGTGAGCGCAGTCCATACTGGTCATTGTCATTCAGTACAAATCCCCATTCCAAATCCCTTCTACACAAAGTTCTTGATAACACCAACTCTGAACCTGTTGCATTAAATTTGATTTAATAACACTATTTTTACTACTGTCAAAATCTTTGTCATTTTTAAGTGATTCAAATCATTATAATTAATTGAGATCACACAACTCAAAACCAAAAAGGTAATCCCATGATACATCTGTTGAAAAAATAAATAAATAGATGTAAATCTAAACATATATAATTAAATGATATGCATAAATGAGTGCTTGACTTGGACTGAAATAGGTGCCGGTACTCATTTTGGGTGCCGGCACTGTTTATTTAGGTGCAGGAGCTCCACAATACTTTGAGCTAATAGTCTATAAGAGGAACAGGTGCTCAAGCAGTAGAACATTTGAGGTGCCGGTACTCCGCTCTGAGGGGCTCCTGACTAAGTCAAGCACAGGATATGTACATGAGTAGACAGTGAAGTGATCATGGTTTTGCCTGCTGGTGATGACATTATTTGCTTGCAAATTTTGTGATCAGAGAAAAAGATAGTCCTAGGATTGAGATGAAACTGAACAGAACATCTCAGACAGGTTGGTTAGGAGAGTTTAGTTGAGGTCACAGGTAAGTTCTAGTTGTTGGTGGGTGGTGGAGTTCAGAGGTGAGTGTTGAGGGGTCACCATACAGAACATTTGTTGACAGGATGCATGGGGGAACCCTTTGGACAGTGGAACACTCGGGCAAACTCATCAAACTGGGACACGCTGCCAATCACCCTGCAGGGGGGGAGGAGATAGAGAGAGAACGATCCAATCAGAGAGGGGAGTCATATTAGGTATGGCCTGTGATAGGCTGATGCATATCAGGAAAGTGAGGAAGTGTATGTACCTGTAATGCTCTGGTGCGTGCTTGTCAGTCAGTAGCTGCAGGTATATGGACTGAGACCGTCTCTTCATACACCAGTTCTAATAGGAGAGAGGAGACAGTTAGCAGTAAAGGCCGTAAAAAATATCATCTTTACTCCAACTAAAAAGAAAAAGATTCCCAATACTAAACAACAGTCTGTACATAGTTTGTTGTGTACCTGTGCAAAGGCAATGAAGAGTAGTTGTTCATGTGTGTATTTGAGTCCAGGGAGAGGTCTTTCTGGACCATGTTCTCTGATCCACTTTTGATATGCCTGGAGAGTGGGAGAAGATGGAGAGAGTGAAAGAGGTAGAGAGAGAGGAGAGAGATGAGATTTGAGTCCCGGGCTTACAAACATACTGTAGCTTGTCATTAGTCCATAGAGACAGTGACTGAGGGCTCTATTCAATCTGTAACGCTGAAGCAGATTCCGCGATATACATTTTAAGGTAATTTCCGATTGAGCCGACATATGCAGCGTTTACCGTGAATGCAGTCTCCGCTAAAGCAGGAACATTTTTTAAAAATGTAAATCACGCTGTAAAGCTGAACCTTCCGTGATGCTGATTGAATAGAGCCCTGACAGATGGTAATCAGTAATGATTGACAGCTAGCACAGCCTATAGGAAGATTTCACTCACAAAGTAAGACAGTTTAAGGCCTCCCATGTCTGCTATATTCTCCCCCAGAGTCAGACGGCCATTCACCTACAGACACACACACACAGGGGAAAGATACCATTGCAACTCACATTACAAGTGTGTGAGTGTGTCTCTAATAAGCAGTATAACAAGGTATGCTATGCACCCACCCTCTGGTTATAGACAGTGAAGTTGTCATAGAGTTTGACGATGCACTCTGCTTTCTTCTGAAACTTCTTGTATGACTCCTCCGTCCACCACTGCTTCAGGTTGCCGTAGCGATCATACTGGCCCCCTAAGAGAAAGATCACTTATCATGGCGGTCACTATTCAGCCACGCTGCAAGGTACAGTTGTTGGCTATAGCCTTTTACTCTCTTAAGTTATTTGTCTGATTTCATTGGTTGGGTTAAGCGGAGGCAAGACTTCCGTACCTTGCAGCATGGTCTGATAGTGACGACCCACTTAGATGGGGGGGCAAGAGGCTTGAGTTAGGATGACCAATGTGGACAGAAGACATGAACCCCTTATTCAGAACTGATATTACACTGACATTACAATTTGACTACTGTTAGTCTACTACTGTTCATGCCCCATTGGATTTTAATATTTTATAGGACACATGTAAGACAAAGAAGCGTTCTCTCACCCCAGTCATCATATCCATGTGTCAGCTCATGACCGATGATGGCTCCTATTCCTCCATAGTTCAGAGATCTAGAGGGAGGAGGGAGAGACGGGGGGATGCGTTACTAATCACTTAACATATGAAGACAACAGCATAATGTTGTATATTTATAATAACACAAAACGGATCAACTTTTGTTCAGCCTGCAGTTCTAACCCGTCCTGAAGAGGACAGTAGAATGTTAGATGAATCATAATCTGACCCGTTGATATCATATCAAACTCTGTTAATACAGTGAGGGAAAAAAGTATTTGATCCCCTGCTGATTTTGTACGTTTGCCCACTGACAAAGAAATGATCAGTCTATAATTTTCAAATAAACCTACCATTAACAGTGATAGACAGAATAAAAATAAAAAAATCCAGAAAAACGCATGACAAAAATGTTATAAATTGATTTGCATTTTAATGAGGGAAATAAGTATTTGACCCCCTCTCAATCAGAAAGATTTCTGGCTCCCAGGTTTCTTTTATACAGGTAAGAGCTGAGATTAGGAGCACACTCTTAAAGGGAGTGCTCCTAATCTCAGTTTGTTACCTGTATAAAAGACACCTGTCCACAGAAGCAATCAATCAGATTCCAAACTCTCCACCATGGCCAAGACCAAAGAGCTCTCCAAGGATGTCAGGGACAAGATTGTAGACCTACACAAGGCTGGAATGGGCTACAAGACCATCGCCACGCAGCTTGGTGAGAAGGTGACAACAGTTGGTGCGATTATTTGCAAATGGAAGAAACACAAAATAACTGTCAATCTCCCTCGGCCTGGGGCTCCATGCAGCCCAGAACTACACAGGAGGATCTTGTCAATGATCTCAAGGCAGCTGGGACCATAGTCACCAAGAAAACAATTGGTAACACACTACGCCGTGAAGGACTGAAATCCTGCAGCGCCCGCAAGGTCCCCCTGCTCAAGAAAGCACATATACAGGCCTGTCTGAAGTTTGCCAATGAAAATCTGAATGATTCAGAGGAGAACTGGGTGAAAGTGTTGTGGTCAGATGAGACCAAAATCGAGCTCTTTGGCATCAACTCAACTCGCCGTGTTTGGAGGAGGAGGAATGCTGCCTATGACCCCAAGAACACCATCCCCTCCGTCAAACATGGAGGTGGAAACATTATGCTTTGGGGGTGTTTTTCTGCTAAGGGGACAGGACAACTTCACCGCATCAAAGGGACGATGGACGGGGCCATGTACCGTCAAATCTTAGGTGAGAACCTCCTTCCCTCAGCCAGGGCATTAAAAATGGGTCGTGGATGGGTATTCCAGCATGACAATTACCCAAAACACATGGCCAAGGCAACAAAGGAGTGGCTCAAGAAGAAGCACATTAAGGTCCTGGAGTGGCCTAGCCAGTCTCCAGACCTTAATCCCATAGAACATCTGTGGAGGGAGCTGAAGGTTTGAGTTGCCAAACGTCAGCATCGAAACCTTAATGACTTGGAGAAGATCTGCTAAGAGGAGTGGGACAAAATCCCTCCTGAGATGTGTGCAAACCTGGTGGCCAACTACAAGAAACATCTGACCTCTGTGATTGCCAACAAGGGTTTTGCCACCAAGTACTAAGTCATGTTTTGCAGAGGGGTCAAATACGTATTTCCCTCATTAAAATGCAAATCAATTTATAACATTTTTGACATGTGTTTTTCTGGATTTTTGTTGTTGTTATTCTGTCTCTCACTGTTCAAATAAACCTACCATTAAAATTATAGACTGATCATGTCTTTGTCAGTGGGCAAATGTACAAAATCAGCAGGGGATCAAATACTTTTTTCCCTCACTATAACTAAAGAGAGTGAGAGTCCTGGCCACCTCTCCTTGACCCGGGTGGGTGTAGTCTGGCAGACCATGCAGATGGAGACTGATGCAATGCAGGGACGGCCCGAGGCCCGCGGCTATCCACATGGCTAAGTCTGAAAATGACTTTCTGACAGGACGTCGATACCCTGCCGAGAGTTGCCCTCCAAACCTGAATATACGAACAGGCTGAGTAAGGCTTCATTACCTGGGGCCAGATAGCAGCACTGGGCTAGCCTCAGTCTTTATGGCAGGTTAGGGCTACTGCAGTAATAACTCTAGGGAAAGGCACCACGATCATGCACACATCTAATATCATATTCCATTCATCAGTATGCATGAGTGGATGCAGTGGTCGTTTATGTGGAGTGATCACTTCTAATGGAATAAGTATGTGAATAAATAATACTGTGCAGTGAGTTTTGAGGGTTGCAGTATAGCTGTGATTGTGTTGTGATCATTAAGGGAAAGGGGAATGGTTTGGAGGTAGAATACGAGGGTAATGTAATCGCGTATAGGGGTTGTCTTGGAGAGCTACAGTACAGCGGGTGCAGGCTTTCGTTCCAGCCTAGCTGGCTACTAACTAATGCACTTGATACAACTAATCAATGTCTTGATTAGTTGAATGACTTCTAAATATTCAGAGTTGAACTCACTGTGGAAACTCAGGGTCGTACAGCGTGGGCTGAAGGATTCCAGCGGGGAATACTAAAAGTAAAGAAAGAGATGATAGCATAAGATAAAGAGAGGGGTAGAGAGGCAGTGATATTGGAGTGGGCTGGATAGAGGGAGGGAGAGAGGTAGGGTAAAAAATGAGCTCTTGTGGCTGATGGCTGTGTTTGTCTGGCTTTCTCTGTCCTCTGCTGCCTGCACTGGAACTCACCATTGATTTTTCTGTGAGGTAAATTTGATCCACAAGGCAGACGCAGACACCAATAGAGGCCAACACTAGGGGGAAAGTGAGGGGAGATGACAAAGTGTGTGTGGGTCGGTGGGAGGTGAGGGGGGCTGGTGTAAGTAAGTGAATGCAGAATACGTGTGTTAGGGCGTGTGGGTGCCTCATTTTTAAAAACATTTTAGCAGACGCTCTTATCCAGAGCGACTTACAGGAGCAATTAGGGTTAAGTGCCTTGCTTAAAGGGCACATCGACAGATTTTTCACCTAGTCAGCTTGGGGATTAGAACCAGCGACCTTTCGGTCACTGGCATAACGCTCTTACCCACTAAGCTACCTGCCGCCTCATCACATGGGTGGACCAGAAAGAAGAAGAAGAGGAGGAGTGTCATCTTGTGTATACTAAGAGCATTGATGTGCATTGGGATCACACACTGACTCACCCATTTGGTTCTTGTTTGGGAGATAGTAGGCATTGAGGGCCTGAGGGGGAAGGAGCCACCTGAGAGGGAAACAAAGTCAATCAGGGGTTTATTAATCCTACATTCACTAAACATCTTCAAACAACAAGAGATGCAAAGACACTTCTCAAGTGATATTTTAAGGTGAAATTATTCAATATTAAGTCCAATATTGAGAGTTCCTGTCCGCACAAGGAAACAGTCCCTTCATCATAATCTTTTAAAATCCAGACACATCGATTTGAGGAAATATCCCAAATGAAATTCAGAGATGCCCCTGTTCTGGTGGGAAAGACCGATGGCCCTACGGCAGCGGAGAGATAGGGAGACGGATGGAGGCATGAGGACATGTTTCCTCTGCAGAGGGAGAGATGAAAGGAGTGTATTTGTGATAAAGGAGGAATACATGATTTGGCAGTACAGGGTGGAGGGCTTCAGCTCGTTTGGACACATACATTTTGAGTACTGTCCTAGGAGCACATTTTAAACAGTCACACAAAAGACAAGCTTATGGTATATTCAATTTGTAGGTACATCACTTGTATATTCTTCACTTCTATTACTCTTGCCATAAAATGGAATGTTTTGTGTCAAGAGGTGCATATAACTTTGAATCTGTGTGTAGTTGTGTTATTGTGAGACTGAACATCTGGAGCAATTGAACGTGTCACTCACACAGTCTTGTCCACCTGCTTGTGGATCTTCTTGACAGACATCTTGATGTTGAACTTGATGCTGTTGAGGATGTTTTTGAAATAGGTATTTTCATCCACATCAAACTGGATAACAAATAACAGAGATGGAGAGAGAGTCAATGAGAGGGAGCGAGCGAGAGAGAACGTCAATGAGGGAGTAAAAGTTGTCTCACCCCATACTCCTGGTCTATGAGCTCATGTTTGAGTAGGTAGTCTGGATAGCCTGTCATCACCATCATATGCTGCAGCTACGAGAGGGAAGGGAGGAAAGGGTCAGAGAAAAGAGAGGAGGAGAAAAAGAGAGTGAGACAGGTGGAGTGAAAAATAGACACTGCACATATTTAGCTGCCATATCCTTCACAGACCACACACAACAGTTAATCAAGCATACTGTTATAATGGGATTACACTGGAGACCCTTTTGTTTCAGCAAGTGCTCTAAAAGGATTAAGACTGTACATTCTGAAAGTATTAGACAACATTCTCAGATAGGGATTTAATAATCCAGTATTAGACAACATTCTCAGATAGGGATTTAATAATCCAGTATTAAACAACATATTGAGATAGGGATTTAATAAACCAGTATTAGACTGATCCAGAATAAAATAACCCCTGCTTCATCCTAAATGCTAATACAGCAGGCCTACAGTATCTTTTTGGTTATATATGAGTTAGTGTGGTATCCAGACCTTGGCCCTGGCTGCCTCCTTGGTCACGTCATCCATCCAGTCCAGCTCTTGCAGCCGGAGGTCCAGTGAATGCTTTATGTCCTCTACCAGCTCCTGTACCTGAGGGAAGAGAACAGGGATCGGAGATTAGAGCTCAGTTCTCTAAGGGTTCCATTGGGAATGGGCCAGAGAGATAGCTATATTAGGTACGCCCAACGCCAAATAGAGAATTCGCCTCCTACTCCTACCCCTAGGCACTTTTCATAGATCTGAAAGGATGGGTTAGCTGTCATATGTAGGAAATTCCTACATAAAGTGCCTAGGGCTAGGTTTTGGGTGTTGAGGCTAGGTTGGCATTGAACACAACAGAGGGGGAGAGAGGGGTGAGAGAGGAAGAGAGAGAAGGAGGAATAGATGATGAAGAGCTTAAATAAAGAGAAGGGTCAGAGGGGTTAGAAATGCCATTGGAAACCACATCCCTTAGAATGAAGAAGACACTATATAGAGGCAGACTAGAAGAGAGAGGGTTAAGGTGTGATGATGGAAGAGTGGGATGGAGAGAGAGAAAGAGGAATTTTCTATTCTACTTCACCAAACCATTACAGAAAGAAACAAAGAGAGAGACAGATAGAGATAGAAGCTGCCCTACCTTGGCCCTGCTTTGAGGAGAGATGTAGAAACAGAGAGAGAGATAGAAGCTGCCCTACCTTGGCCCTGCTGTGAGGAGAGATGTAGAAACAGAGAGACAGAGATAGAAGCTGCCCTACCTTGGCCCTGCTGTGAGGAGAGATGTAGAAACAGAGAGACAGAGATAGAAGCTGCCCTACCTTGGTCCTGCTGTGAGGAGAGATGTAGAAACAGAGATACAGAAATAGAAGCTGCCCTACCTTGGTCCTGCTGTGAGGAGAGATGTAGAAACAGAGAGAGAGATAGAAGCTACCCTACCTTGGCCCTGCTGTGAGGAGAGATAGAAGCTGCCCTACCTTGGTCCTGCTGTGAGGAGAGATAGAAGCTGCCCTACCTTGGTCCTGCTGTGAGGAGAGATGTAGAAACAGAGATACAGAAATAGAAGCTGCCCTACCTTGGTCCTGCTGTGAGGAGAGATGTAGAAACAGAGACAGAGATAGAAGCTGCCCTACCTTGGTCCTGCTGTGAGGAGAGATGTAGAAACAGAGACAGAGATAGAAGCTGCCCTACCTTGGCCCTGCTGTGAGGAGAGATGTAGAAACAGAGAGACAGAGATAGAAGCTGCCCTACCTTGGTCCTGCTGTGAGGAGAGATGTAGAAACAGAGATACAGAAATAGAAGCTGCCCTACCTTGGTCCTGCTGTGAGGAGAGATGTAGAAACAGAGAGAGAGATAGAAGCTACCCTACCTTGGCCCTGCTGTGAGGAGAGATAGAAGCTGCCCTACCTTGGTCCTGCTGTGAGGAGAGATGTAGAAACAGAGAGAGAGATAGAAGCTACCCTACCTTGGCCCTGCTGTGAGGAGAGATAGAAGCTGCCCTACCTTGGCCCTGCTGTGAGGAGAGATGTAGAAACAGAGAGAGAGAGATAGAAGCTGCCCTACCTTGGCCCTGCTGTGAGGAGAGATGTAGAAACAGAGAGACAGAGATAGAAGCTGCCCTACCTTGGCCCTGCTGTGAGAGGAGAAATGCTGCTGGACGAAGAGTGCTCCCAGGGCCATGCCGAAGTGTTTGTTAGCCTGGGTGAGACACAGCATCCCCAGCTCCAGCTGACGCTCTGTACCATCAATCTCCCGGGAAAACTCATGGATGGTGCTCCGGAACGCCGTGGACAGGTGTTCACTGAGAGCTGCTACAATCCGCCACAGCATGTAGTTATGGAGAACCCTGCCAAGAGAGGGAGGGGGGAAACCGAGAGAGAGGGGAAGAGAGAGACAGAGAGATAGAGAGAGGAGGGGGGGACATTGAGTTTTAGTTTTAACAAGCCTTTATTGTATAATTAAGGAGTGCCCCTACAGAGATTCAACGTGGATTCCTCCGGAAAATCTAAAAATATAGGAGAAGACAGAAAAAGTGGGCAGAAAGAGGGAGTACAGCAAAGGAGATACAAGCAGGTTAGAGAAGAGGAGAGTGACAGAGTGTATGGGTGGGGGGAAGAGAGGAGAGAGACAGAGAGTATGGGTGGGGGGGGAAGAGAGGAGAGAGAGAGTGTATGGGTGGGGGGAAGAGAGGAGAGAGACAGTGTATGGGTGGGGGGAAGAGAGGAGAGAGACAGAGTGTATGGGTGGGGGGAAGAGAGGAGAGAGAGAGTGTATGGGTGGGGGAAGAGAGGAGAGAGAGAGTGTATGGTGGGGGAGAGCAAGAGAGGAGAGAGACAGATTATGGGTGGGTGGGAAGAGAGGAGAGAGACAGAGTGTATGGGTGGGGGGAAGAGAGGAGGGGAGGAGGAGAGAGAGTGTATGGGTGGGGGGGAAGAGAGGAGAGAGACAGTGTATGGGTGGGGGGAAGAGAGGAGAAGAGACAGAGTGAATGGGTGGGGGGAAGAGAGGAGAGAGACAGTGAGGGGTGGGGGGGAAGAGAGGAGAGAGACAGAGTGTATGGGTGGGGGGAAGGAGGAGACGAGAGAGTGTATGGGTGGGGGGAAGAGAGGAGAGAGACAGTGTATGGGTGGGGGAAGAGAGGAGAGAGACAGAGTTATGGGTGGGGGGAAGAGAGGCAGAGAGAGAGTGTATGGGTGGGGGGAAGAGAGGAGAGAGAGATTATGGGTGGGGGGAAGAGAGGAGAGAGAGAGTGTATGGGTGGGGGGAAGAGAGGAGAGAGACAGATTATGGGTGGGGGGAAGAGAGGAGAGAGAGAGTGTATGGTGGGGGAAGAGAGGAGAGAGACAGAGTGTATGGGTGGGGGGAAGAGAGGAGAGAGACAGAGTGTATGGGTGGGGGGAAGAGAGGAGAGATGGACTCCAAGAGTGACTCAGAAGAGTAGAACTTAACCTCCGAAAGTATTCAGACCCCTTGACTTTTTCCACATTTTGTGACGTTACAGCCTTATTCTAAAATTGATTAAATAAAAAAAATCCTCATCAATCTACACACAATACCCCATAATGACAAAGTGAAAACAGTTTTTTTTTAAAATTTCTGCTAATCTATTAAAGATAAAAAACAGAAAACCCTTTTTTACATAAGTATTCAGACCCTTTGCTATGAGACTCGATATTGAGCTCCAGTGCATCCTGTTTCCCATTGATCATCCTTGAGATGTTTCTACAACTTGATTGGAGTCCACCTGTGGTACATGCAATTGATTGGACATGATTTGGGAAGGAACACACCTGTCTATATAAGGTCCCACAGTTGACAGTGCAAGTCAGAGCAACTCCGCGACAGGATTATGTAGAGGCACAGATATGGGGAAGGGTACCAAAAAATGTCTGCCGCATTGAAGGTCCCCAACAACACAGTGGCCTCCATTATTCTTAAATGGAAGAAGTTTTGAACCACCAAGACTCTTCCTAGAGGTGGCCGCCTGGCCAAACTGAGCAATCGGGGGAGAAGGGCCTTGGTCAGGGAGGTGACCAAGAATCCAATGGTCACTCTGACAGAGCTCCAGAGTTCCTCTGTGGAGATCGGAGAACCTTCCAGAAGGACAACCATCTCTGCAGCACTCCACCAATCAGGCCTTTATGGTAGAGTGGCCAGACGGAAGCCACTCCTCAGTGAAAGGCACATGACAGCCTGCTTGGAGTTTGCCAAAAGGCACCAAAAGGACTCTCAGACCATGAGAAACAAGATTGTCTGGTCTGACCAAACCAAAATTGATCTCTTTGGCCTGAATGCCAAGCGTCACGTCTGCAGGAAACCTGGCACCATCCCTACGGTGAAGCATGGTGGTGGCAGCATCATGCTGTGAGGATGTTTTTCAGCTACAGGGACTGGGAGACTAGTCAGGATTGGGGGAAAGATGAACGGAGCAAAATACAGAGAGGTCCTTGATGAAAATCTGCTCCAGAGCGCTCAGGACCTCAGACTGGGGCGAAGGTTCATCTTCCAACAGGACAACGACCCTAAGCACACAGCCAAGACAATACAGGAGTGGCTTCGGGACAAGTCTCTGAATGTCCTTGAGTGGCTCAGCCAGAGGCCGGACTTGAACCCAATCAAACATCTCTGGAGAGACCTGAAAATAGCTGTGCAGCGACGCTCCGCAACCAACCTGACAGAGCTTGAGAGGATATGCAGAGAAGAATGGGAGAAATTCCCCAAATACAGGTGTTTTTTTGTTTTGTTGCTAAAATGTCTAAAAACCTGTTTTTGCTTTGTTATTATGGGGTATTGTGTGTAGATTGATGAGGAAAAAATACAATTTAATCCATTTTAGAATAAGATGTAACGTAACAAAATGTGGAAAAAGTCAAGGGGTCTGAATACTTTCCAAATGCACTGTATTCAAACGTTATTTTCCCTTCTCAGTAAAGTAAAGTCGTGCTTGATGTGTTGAGGGATCCCACAGAGTGAACATATCCATTCTGCCCTCAGGACAAGTGGCCCTGTCTCCTATTGCGAGACTCCGCTCCACGTGAAACGGTTTTTGTTTTCTGTTTTTATTTTTGACACGTGCGCTGCATATAAAATCAAAATTGCCTTGGCAAAGCAGCCCCAGTGTCTCGCCAACAAAGCACTTCTGAAGTGAAATTAATTGAGAAGAGCGAGGGAGAGAGAGAGAAAGGAGGAGGGAGGAAGGAGGAGGGAGGAAGAGGAAGACTGAGACAGTGTCCTTGTTCTTATATAACTCTAATAATCAATACAGATCAGATCAGATCAGATCAGTGTGTTGTAGGTGTGGCAGCTTCGCTTGGTTTTGTTTGTGTGTTTGAGTTTGTTTACTCGGTTGAATAAAACACCTGTTTTATTCATTTGTTGCAGATGACTTGTTTGTAAGGGACATAGCTAGAGTGTGTGTGTGTGTGTCAAAATCTAATCCCAGATGGAGTTGGTGTGTGGGGTGGTGGGAAGATTTAGGAGACCTGTGAGATTAGACGGAAATGAAAAGGCTTTAGTAAAATGTATTCTAATGATCAAACAATAGCCCTGAATAACAATGGGATGGGAATTAAAAATCATTAGAAGACTGGATTGTAATGGAGCTCATTAAGATAAAATACATTGTCTGACCAGAATACCTGCAAACATTACCTTCTGTAATAATGGTCGTACAGCTTCTACCCACAGTCTAACCTCACTATTCTCACACACACACACACACACACACACACACACACACACACACACAACCACATTCATACACACTTCCCCTTGAGAATTGCGTGAGTGATAGTGACAGACGGATGAGCAGAGAGAAAGGAGGGAATGAGAGGGAGAGGAGGAGAGGTTGTAGAGAGACACTGGTGTTGTCATTACTGTCTCAGCCTCATTGGACACCAGCTCATCTGGTTAATGGGATTGGATGCAGTTGTCTGGGTCTTGTCAATAGAACCCAGCAACATGGGCATTACACACACTGCCAGGGAGAGAGAAGGAGGGTGGGGGGAGGGAGAGAGAAGGAGGGTGGAGGGAGAGAGAAGGAGGGTGGGGGGAGGGAGGGAGGGAGAGAGAAGGAGGGTGGGGGGAGAAGAGAAGGGAGGGTGGGGGGGAGAAGAGAAGGGAGGGGAGGGTGGATGGGAGGGTTGATGGGGGGATGGGTGGATGGGTGGGGTGGGGGGGGGGGTGGGGGAGATGGGGGGGGGGGGGATGGGAGGATGGGTGGGTGGGGGGATGGGAGGGGGGACGGGAGGGTGGATGTGTGGGTGGGGGGAGGGGGGGGGTGAAAGAAGAGAGTGGGAGAGGGAGAGAGATGGGACGGCACAGGGTTTGAAAAGGAATATGTGCGCAAACAACTAGAGAAATAAACTGAGGGTGACAGAAAGAAGAAACCCACACACAAAGGAGGCCTTTGTAAAAAGTTGAAGTGTGTGTGGATTTACTTCTCCCTCTGACTCCCACACACAGGGGCCAGAGCCCCACAGAGATTTGGACTGAATGAATGACAGGAGGGGAACACATACTGTTCCAGAACACAGTGGATGTATGTCTGTGTGTGCTTTCTTTTCTTTCACTGTCTGTCACCCTTCTGCCACTCAGCAGGTAGAGAAGCTCAGAGTGCCCACTGCGAGAACAGACTGAGACTGTGTGCATTCCTGCAAGTGTGTCTATGAGTGAGTGTGTGTCCGCCCGCCCCCTCTCTCCAGGCAGTGTGTGGTGTGGTGTGAGTGTCAGGAACCCATGGGGATGCCCCAGCCCAGCGTGTCCAGAGGCCAGACAAAGTCCTGTTTCTGGGCTGCATTAGTGACCTCCCAGGGCCTTTCAGCTCTGCTGCTCCATAAAACAGACAGACGTATGGCTGGCCTCTGTCAAACACCTCTGTCACAGCCTCACTCCCTGCTGGGCCCAAATGTGACTGTGTGTGTCCCAAAGAGGTGTATGTGTGTATAAGAAAGAGAAAGAGTGCTTGTGAGCGGATGTGTGTGTCTGGGCGTGAGTGTTTGGTTGTTTATATCGATGGGATTGCTTTCATGTAGGTGTGAATGTTCAATGGTACCTGTGTGTGTGTTTGTGTATGTGTGGGTAGCTGTGTAATTGGAGACTCATAAAGATCAGTGGAGAGACCCCATACTGAGAAGCACAGGGGCATTTCTCGTCAGTTATGCAAATGAACAAGGGGTGCACAGTGGGTAGCGGTAGGAACAGGAGTCCGCCACACCCAGTGGTGTGTTTGTGAGAGAGGAAACAACGACGCTAACCTTTTATTAAAAACAGATAATAGAGAGGGAGAGAGCGAAAGAGAGATGACAGAGGGGTGAGAGACGGAGCAACGGAGGGAAAAACAGAAGAGTGGAGGAGCGAAACTGGAAAAAGAGAGCGAGGACAGATTGAAAAAGAACAGACAGTAGAAAGAGAGGCAGGAGAAGGAGGGAACAGGAAGAGAGGTTTATTTCTGAAATCACCAGGAGGGAGAGAGAGATGGAGAAAGGAGAAAAGAAGGGAAAAACAACTAAAGAAAAGACACAGAAAATCTCCCGAGCCTCCAGATGTGAGGATCAAAGCTGATTGGCTGTAATGCCGGTCGTCACCATGGTGATGATGATAAGGTTGATTATAGCAAAGAGGATTATGATAAGATTATTATTACATTATCTGATATTAGGTGACATGAAATTGTATGAAAGCACTCACCCCACTGTGTCTCTTTTCTAATTTCAAAGAACATCTTACTCAAGAACTGATATGTACAAGAACAGAGACAAGGAGATAAGAGCAGGAATACAGCTGAAGGGAGAGAGGGGAGGGGGTATGAAGGATGAGAGAGGGAGGGGGTATGAAGGATGAGAGAGGGAGGGGGTATGAAGGATGAGAGAGGGAGGGGGTACGAAGGATGAGAGAGGGAGGGGTACGAAGGAATGGGGAGAGGAGGAGAGGGGGTACGAAGGATGAGAGAGGGAGGGGGTACGAAGGATGAGAGAGGGGAGGGGGTATGAAGGATGAGAGAGGGAGGGTGTATGAAGGATGAGAGAGGGAGGGGGTACGAAGGATGAGAGAGGGAGGGGTCGAGGATGAGAGAGGGAGGGGGTACGAAGGATGAGAGAGGGAGGGGTCTGAAGGATGAGGAGGGGAGGGGGTATGAGGATGAGAGAGGAGGAGGGGGTATGAAGGATGAGAGAGGGAGGGGGTACGAAGGATGAGGAGGGCGGGGGGTACGAAGGATGAGAGAGGGAGGGGGTATGAAGGATGAGAGAGGGGGGTACGGGATGGGAGGGGGGGTATGAAGGATGAGAGAGGGAGGGGGTATGAGGATGAGAGAGGGTATGAGGATGAGGGGGAGGGGTATGAAGGATGAGAGAGGGGGGGGTACGAGGATGAGAGGGGAGGGGGTTCCGAGGGAGGGGGTACGTAAGGATGAGAGAGAGAGGGGGTATGAAGGATGAGAGAGGGGGGGGTTGATAGGATGGAGAGAGGGGAGAGGGGGTTATGAGGGATTGAGAGAGGGGGTTGGGGGGGGTATGAAGGATGAGAGGGAGGGGGGGTATGAAGGATGAGAGAGGGAGGGGTGTATGAAGGATGTGTAGCTGGGAGGTAGGGGGGGCCAGTGTGGGTTCGATCCCCGGGACCATACACAAAATGTATGCACGCATGACTGTAAGTCGCTTGGATAAAGCGTCTGCTAAATGCATATTATTTATTTATTATTTATTATAGGATGAGAGGGGGAGGGGGTATGAAGGATGAGAGAGGGAGGGGGTATGAAGGATGAGAGAGGGAGGGGGTATGAAGGATGAGAGAGGGAGGGGGTATGAAGGATGAGAGAGGGAGGGGGTATGAAGGATGAGAGAGGGAGGGGATATGAAGGAGGGAGGGTGGAGGTGTAGAGTATTGAAAGAGAAAAAAGCTGTACAGACAGACCAATTGAAAGTCAGCTACAGACAGACTACTACAGACTGGCAGACAGACAGGTGTGAAGTGTAGTGTAGAGTAGAGCATAACACCAGTCAGTATTGGAGAGCTGTCAGCAGTATTAACCAGCACTCTGACTCCCACTAGCCTCCACAGCCACCTCTGGAGTCTGGCAAGAGCTGCCTTTAACAGCACAACACTGTGTGTGTGTCGAGGTGGGGGGTGCAGATCGATACTAATCAGCCACAGTAGAGCTGGAAGTTCAACCACCAGTGATCCCCCCCCCCCCCCCCGCCCTCCACACACACACACTCAAAAACAAATCTTTACACACTAAGACACTTCAATATGACATAACATATAGTAAAAGCCCTAGTAAAGGACACACACACTAATTCAGCAACTCTTACAAAATGCTTACACATGCTCAAAACTCATATCTTATGCCATTGATTTTCCATGCAACTCTGTAACCTTTGCATTCTTCCTCTGCCTCTCATCCACCCTTCCCCTCCTCCCTCCTCCCACCCTCCTTTACCCTCTCTCCCTCTCTCACCTTTTGGAGGTGGTCTTGATGATCTCTGAGACTTTCTCCATGTAGTCAGTAGCCAACACCACTATCTCTTCATCCTCAGAGAAGTTATCATGGAAGATTCTGTCCAACAAACGTTTCCAATGGAGCTGTAGAGACAGATGAGAGGAGAGAGCAGGAAGAGCGAGAGGGAGATGAGGTTTGAGTTTTAACAAGATAAGAAAACACGATTGTTGTCACCCTGCTCTGATGAAAGGAAGGGGGGTTCCAACAAGCCTTTATTGTATCAGTAAGGAAAGTGAAAATGCTGCCTCCACAATAAATATATATATATATGATAACAAGAAAAGGTAAAGCCCTAGAAAGCCCTGCTCACAGCTTAGGTCATCCACAATACAAAGTTCCTCCTTAACTACTGAGCATACAGTATTCCTGTAATCCCAAATGGTTTTATAATCTCCCACTATTATTAACAGGCAATAGTGGGATAGTAGAAAAGAGTGAGAGTGAAAGAGGGAAAGGTGGAGAGGGACAGAATGCGGTCGGACCATCATATAATTGGCATATACATTACTCTTACTGAATTTCCACGTGGGCGAGGATATTGGAAATTTAATCAAAGCCTATTGGATAATAATTTATATTTGAACTAGGACAAAGGAATTTATAACTGACTTTTTCCGACATAACATAGGTACCACAAATCCCCTTATTGTATGGGACACCTTTAAATGTGCCTTTAGAGGCCATGCAATTCAGTACTCATCTCGAAAACAAAAGCAATTTAGGTCAAAAGAGTTTATACTAACAAAGGAAATAGAAAGTCTAACAGAACAGATAGATGGCAATAAAAACTGTAACATGGAGGCTCAGAATAAATTAGAGGAAAAACAAAAAGAAATGGAGAAACTTATTCAAGAAAGATCAAGTGTAATATATTATAAAAATAAAGCAAACTGGATGGAATATGGGGGAAAATGCACCAAATTATTTTTTAATCTTCAACATAGGAATGCTACCAAAAATAATTTAATGAAACTGGTTACGGAGTAACCCATGATTCACCAAATGATATTTTGAAGGAGGAAACAAGGTACTTTAAGCATATGTTTTCGTTTCAGTCGCCTCCATCTCCTCTAACTGAAGCTAATTGTAGAGATTTTTTTTCTATTGATAATGTAAAATTAACAGCCAAACAGAAAGACTCATGTGAAGGTTAAAATTACAGAGGAGGAACTTCTGGATGCAATTAAAGACTTTAAGTCCGGGAAAACTCCAGGGTTGGATGGCATACCAGTCGAAGTATACCAAACCTTTTTTCATATACTAAGAGGACCGTTATTAGCATGTTTTAACCACTCTTATGTAAATAGTAGATTATCTGACACTCAAGAAGAAGGTCTGATCTCATTATTACTGAAACAGGATACAAGTGGAAAATATAAAGATCCAGTCCATTTAAGAAATTGGAGGCCCCTTACACTTCAGTGTTGTGATGCAAAAATTCTAGCAAAATGTATAGTGCATAGAATTAAAAAGGTATTGTCGGATATTATTCATTCTAATCAGACAGGTTTTTTACATGGAAGATACATTGGAGATAATATAAGGCAAGTATTGGAAACAATAGAACATTATGGAAAATCTGAGAAACCAGGCCTGCTATTCATAGCAGACTTCGAAAAGGCATTTGATAAAGTACGACTGGAGTTTATATATAAATGCCTGGAGCATTTCAATTTTGGTGAATCTCTTATAAAATGGGTCAAAATCATGTATAGTAACCCTAGGTGTAAAATAGTAAATAATGGCTATTTCTCAGAAAGTTTTAAACTGTCGAGGAGTGAAACAAGGTTGTCCACTATCGGCATATCTATTTATTGTGGCCATCGAGATGTTAGCTATTAAAATCAGATCCAACAATAATATCAGGGGATTAGAAATCCAGGGCTTAAAAACAAAGGTGTCATTGTACGCTGATGATTCATGTTTTCTTTTAAATCTACAACTAGAATCACTCCACAGCCTCATAGAGGTTCTTGATACATTTTCTAACCTCTCTGGATTACAACCAAATTATGACAAATGTATACTATATTACGTATTGGATCAATAAAAAAATACAATTTTTACATTGCCACGTAGTTTACCAAAAAAAAAAAGGTATCATAGGTACACTTCAACTGTGAGAGACGGAATCTAAAACAAAAATCCAGAAAATCACATTGTATGATTTTTAAGTAATTAATTTGCATTTTATTGCATGACATAAGTATTTGATCACCTACCAACCAGTAAGAATTCCGGCTCTCACAGACCTGTTAGTTTTTCTTTAAGAAGCCCTCCTATTCTCCACTCATTACTTGTATTAACTGCACCTGTTTGAACTCGTTACCTGTATAAAAGACACCTGTCCACACACTCAATCAAACAGACTCCAACCTCTCCACAATGGCCAATACCAGAGAGCTGTGTAAGGACATCAGGGATAGAATTGTAGACCTGCGCAAGGCTGGGATGGGCTACAGGACAATAGGCAAGCAGCTTGGTGAGAAGGCAACAACTGTTGGCGCAATTATTAGAAAATGGAAGAAGTTCAAGATGACGGTCAATCACCCTCGGTCTGGGGCTCCATGCAAGATCTCACCTCGTGGGGCATCAATGATCATGAGGAAGGTGAGGGATCAGCCCAGAACTACACGGCAGGACCTGGTCAATGACCTGAAGAGAGCTGGGACCACAGTCTCAAAGAAAACCATTAGTAACACACTACGCCGTCATGGATTAAAATCCTGCAACGCACGCAAGGTCCCCCTGCTCAAGCCAGCGCATGTCCAGGCCCGTCTGAAGTTTGCCAATGACCATCTGGATGATCCAGAGGAGGAATGGGAGAAGGTCATGTGGTCTGATGAGACAAAAATATAGCTTTTTGGTCTAAACTCCACTTGCCGTGTTTGGAGGAAGAAGAAGGATGAGTACAACCCCAAGAACACCATCCCAACCATGAAGCATGGAGGTGGAAACATCATTCTTTGGGGATGCTTTCTACAAAGGGGACATGACGACTGCACCGTATTGAGGGGAGGATGGATGGGGCCATGTATCGTGAGATCTTGGTCAACAACCTCCTTCCCTCAGTAAGAGCATTGAAGATGGGTCCTGGCTGGGTCTTCCAGCATGACAACGACCCGAAACACACAGCCAGGGCAACTAAGGAGTGGCTCCGTAAGAAGCATCTCAAGGTCCTGGAGTGGCCTAGCCAGTCTCCAGACCTGAACCCAATAGAACATCTTTGGAGGGAGCTGAAAGTCCGTATTGCCCAGCGACAGCCCCGAAACCTGAAAGATCTGGAGAAGGTCTGTATGGAGGAGTGGGCCAAAATCCCTGCTGCAGTGTGTGCAAACCTGGTCAAGACCTACAGGAAACGTATGATCTCTGTAATTGCAAACAAAGGTTTCTGTACCAAATATTAAGTTCTGCTTTTCTGATGTATCAAATACTTATGTCATGCAATAAAATGCAAATTAATTACTTAAAAATCATACAATGTGATTTTCTGGATTTTTGTTTTAGATTCCGTCTCTCACAGTTGAAGTGTACCTTTGATACAAATTACAGACCTCTATATGCTTTGTAAGTAGGAAAACCTGCAAAATTGGCAGTGTATCAAATACTTGTTCTCCCCACTGTATATGGGGGATACAATCTTCCCAGCTCTGCAGATTTTGCTGCGAAGAGACAGAATCATTAGATTATTTGCTTTGGTACTGTCCATTTGTAGCTTGTTTTTGGACACAGGTCCAGGAATGGCTAAAGGATTGCAATATTTACCTGGAGCTAACCCTGCAGATAGCACTACTGGGTGATCTGAAAAGTCATAGTCAATCGATCAATAACAAAATAATACTATTAGCAAAAATGTTTATTTTCAATTCACAATCTGTAGAAACAATGAGAATAGAAAGGTTCAGAACTTTTGTAAGACATCACAGTACAGTGTAAATATATATGGCAAATAGAAATCCTATATGGATGGTGTTAAAATATAGATGGGAGGTGTTGAATGGAATTGAAGGATGGGACTAATAACAACTAACAACAAACAATAAGATAACTAATAATGTAAGTGTATGGGTTGTAGGTTGGGAGCTTTTGTGAAGGAGCACAGTTAGAAAGATATGGCATATAGAAGCAAACCGGATGGACATCATGAAAATGATCGGAGAGGTTGAGAGTAGAAGTTCAGGAGAAAGAACAAACAAAATGTAATTATTGTAAAATTGACTGTGTCCATAAAATATAGATAGTGGGTATGGGCTGGAAGTAGAGGCCTAGGCGTTGTTGTTCACTAGTTTACTCCAAGTGGGGAAAGGGTGGCGGGGTTGGAAAGTAATAAAGGGGAATATATATATAAAAAAGGTGGAGAGGGATAAATCAGTATGACCATGTCTGTCTGTCTGAGCGTGTACTGATGTAGGCTCTTAATTTGAGCCAGTTTGCTACAGCAGGAAAATAATCCTGCAGCAACAGGAAATGTGAATTATTATGTAGATTATAATTAATTGATTTTTTTTTAGGGGTTGATACATTTTTCATTAGGGCAAATCAAGTCAGACATTTCAATGAGGAAATTACAAACTTTAGAAGCCTTTTTAAAACTCAAATGCACTACAAATTTGCATTTCGTGCAGTGCAGGAAAGTTCTCAGCAACAAAAAGAGTGATCAAATTAAGATCCTACATCTGTATATCTAACGTTAATTGTCCATCTATCTAACCGACAGTTACAGCTACTGTCTATTACTCCTCCCCTGGGTCTCTACGTCCATCTGTATGTCACTCTCACTCTCCATTTGCACCTTTTTAGTCATCTCTTTTGCATGTATTATTTGTCTCTCATGTTTCTTTCTCTTGTTTTATCAGTGATGCTAGTGAAGCGCACTTCATCCATCGCTCTCTCCGTTCATGTCCACTCCCCCCTTCACTCCCCTCCCCTCCCTTCTTCTCCAATCAGAAGTGATGGAGCAGCTCTGAATTCTCCATCAGTTTCCTGCTGCTCTCCAACGCTCCCTACCTCCCCTCAGTCCCTCTCTCCCCCAGATTCATTTCCATATGCTCCCCCATCAGTCCCCTCTCTCTCCTCTTCCCCCCTCCTCCCTCTATCCTCCTTCTGTAGTCCCCCATCGACCCCCCCCCCCCCCCCCATTTATCCCGTCCTCTCCCTTTCTCTACCCTCTCTCTCCATCTCTTCTTCCCACCTCCCTCGTTCCGTAGCCCCCTGTTGGTCTCCTATCCCCGCAAGGCGGACAGCTTTGCTGAGCCACGGAGGCGTGAGTATGAACGGTCCACGGGGCGTAGAATGGCCCCCCCCACGCGCGCGCACACACTCTTCACAATGCTCTGCTGGAGTTCAGCTCTTAATCCATCATACTTCTGCTCATACACACACACAATACAGATAGAAAGATGTGTGTGTGTGGTACTCACACTGGGAGCGATGCGCTGTAGTTGTCTCAGGGTGATGCGGTTGTACATAGTGCTGATGTCTTTTCTCTGTTCATCATACTCAGACACAGTGATCTGAAAAAGAGGGGAAGAAACATTATAACTGAACACACACACATACACACACACACACACACACATACATACACTTACGTTGGCCAGGCGTGTTTCCAGCTGTAGGATCTCTTTGGACTTCTGAGTGGCATTGTGAGCTCCCAGCATGCTTAGCAGACGCTCCATCAGGGCCTTGTAAGCTGCCAGGATCTGTCCATGACATCATTATTAATGGACATTGGACAACAACATTACATCATTATTAATGGTCAATGGTCAGCAGTGTGACATATGGCAGAGCAGACAGGATCAGAAATGGAACAGAGATGACAGGAACAAACAGGTGGATGGATGGAGAAGAAAGGAATGGGTCGATAAGTGAACAGATGGAGAGATTAAGTGGTGGATAGAAAGAGGGAGGGGGTAATCCTTTACCTTCACACTGTCCTCATCCTGCCCCAGGTACAGAGTCCTCTCAGGCAGTGTGAGCCCCTCCTGATCAATCTACAAATATACACACATACGATCACAGTCAAGAGAACACATATGAACACGTGTAAACAACACCGACATGTAAGTAAACAGATGGTATATCAGTCAGATGATAAACAGTAGGTGTTCACACACAGACACACACACAGACACACACTCTTACCCTGATAGCGTTGCGTGAGGAGTTCTTATCGTCCACGTTGACAGTGAGAGAGAAGAAGACAGCAGTGCTGTACACCCCCTGGGTCCTATAGAGCAGCTCATTAAAGTCTGGCCTGGCTGGTGCAGTACTGCTCTCCCACCCCGCACCACCAGAGGGCGCTCCAACCAGGTCCCACCCGCCACAGCTGTCAATCACCTCCGTCATGGGCCCCGACCCCAGCTTGTCAATCTCCTGGATGTTCACACAGGAGCGGTAGAACTCTTTCACCTTGCGTTCAGCCGAGTCCATGGTGCGCCGGTGCACAGGCTCCAGCAGGAGGCGTCGTAGTTTCTCCTCGTTGTGCTCTCCGATGGCGGTGATGATGCCGTAGCTCAGCTTGTCCTCTGGGATGCCGTGGCGCCGTAGCCAGCCGCCGCAGGCGAAGCTGTAGAAGTCCTGGCAGGGCTGGATGGTGGGGTCGATGTTGGCCTGGACGAAGCGTGCGGCGCGGACTAACGAGCGTTTCTTCTGGCAGTCCTGTCTGCAGTGCCCCTCCTGCTGGAAGTCCAGGGAGATGTATTTCAGTGTCAGCATGCTGCCCAGGATGACACACATCCCCGCAGCGAACACCAGAGCAGAGAGCAGGCAGATCTCCCTGCGGCTCCAACGAGGAAGTCCCTGTCCGCTGTTGATGCCACTCAGGTCCCGACTCCGATCACTAGCCCCGCCCCCTTTGCCTCGGCCCCGCCCGACATTACGGTCCAGGCTCCCGCCCAAGTGCAGGCTCATTCCGTTGCTAAGGGTGCCACTGCTATAGCGACCACCATACTTGACCTCCTGGAACTCATCGTAGTGGGCCGTGAGGGAGTATGTCTTCTCCATGGCAATGAGGGTTGATTTGTGTTACGTTGTTGAAAATAGATTATTATTAGAGGGAGTGGTGGAAGGTGGGAGAGAGAGGAGTCTTTCAGATGTCCACGTCCCTCCAGGCCTGATATGGGAGAGGAGGGCGCCTACTAGAGGGCTAAAGGGGTAACACAGCTCAAATGGCCTGTGCTCTCCTGAACACACTGCCTCTTGTATGTCTCCTCTGCTAACCCTTACCTTTACAGAGTTAGGGACCACTGAGGCTATCTCTCTTCTTGTCTGTCAGTGTATCTCTTGGGTCTTGGTCTCTCTTTCCTTTCGCCCTGTCTTCCTTTCTTCCTTTCCCACCAGTGGAGCCTCAGTCTGTCTGTCAATAGAAAAGGAGGAGAGGAGAGGAAGAGGGAAAGGGAGGGAGGGAGGGAGGGGCGATGAGACAGAAGATGCAATCCATGATTACGACACTGAGAGATGACAAAGGGTACTGTCTCTGTTGAGATGCTCTCTTTTCTTTCTTTCATTCTGTCATTCTTTCCTAAAATTATTTTGGATTGATTTCTGACACCCATCCATCAGGGAGATGATGTTGCTCTGTGACTCATGACTTTGGATGGATCGATAGAGAGTAGGGGAGGAGAGAGGGAGGGTTAGGAAGATGGAGAGGAGAGAGGGAAGGATGGGGGAGTGTGCAGAGGGAGGGGAGGGGAGGGGTAGACAGAGATGCAGAAAAGGGGGGAGATGGAAGGAAGAGGGATGGCAATGGTATGGGGGAGTTATTCTGCAGGACTGGTTGTGAGGACAAACACACATACCAGCCAGGTTACCCGTGATACAAGTCAGTATTCAACGTCCATCCATGTCTGAAGGACGTCGGAAGATGACGTGGAAACTGGCCACTAAGGGCAACAGTGAGCGTGGTTACCTTCAAATGGGTTTTGGTTTTCCTAGGGTGGTGTGAGTAGAGCTGGAAGATAGGCTTAAGCATCTGCTTCTGATTCCAAAGGTTGGAAGTTCAAATCCAGCATTAAAAAGTTGTTTTTGATATTTTTGTTTTAAGCCTATCCCAAACCTTACATTTCGGAGTTAATGCCTAAACCTAACCTTAAACAATTTGACGTATGGAATAACTTCGAAATGTGACGTTTCAGAAACATGGATGAACGTCTAATTCTGACGTGAGATTGTGAGAGCTGGTAGCACATACACACACACGGAGCAGGTGATAAATTCACATGCATGTAAAAAACACTTAGAAATAGAAGAAAAGTCTGTTAAAGACATTAGAGATTCAGTTTTAAACTCTCAGAGAATATATTGAGTATCAATTAACAGAGATCGCTATCCCAGGATTCAGAAGTTTGATCAGTCTGAGACTGGCTTTTCACTATAACGGAGTATGACAAACAGCAATACACACATTTTTTGCCTCAGGAAAGTGAGCAGACAGATCAAAGATTTGGAAAGAGGCAGACTGCTCCAGATCCTCAATACATCAAATGTGTAGTGTGCCAGTGTGTGTGTTGAGGCCCATGGTGTGTGTTTACATTTACATTTACGTCATTTAGCTGACGCTCTTATCCAGAGCGACTTACAGTTAGTGCATACATTAGTTATTTTTCATACTGGCCCCCCGTGGGAAACGAACCCACAACCCTGACGTTGCAAACGTCATGCTCTATCAACTGAGCTACCTCCCTGCCTGCCATTCCCTCCCCTACCCTGGACGACGCTGGGCCAATTGTGCGCCGCCCCATTGGTCTCCCGGTTGCGGCCGGCTACAGCAGAGCCTGGATTCGAACCAGGATCTCTAGTGGCACAGCTAGCACTGCGATGCAGTGCCTTAGACCACTGCGCCACTCGGGAGGCCCAGGGTGACCCAGGGTGTGTGTTGAGGCCCAGGGTGTGTGTTGAGGCCAGGTTGTGTGAGCATCTGGCTCTGTGTTTGTTTGGCTGTTACTAGTCTACCAAATCAACCCAGTGAGTTGTGGTTCCCTTGCATTTAGACTTGGCAGCCATCAGTAACTTTATAATTGTGATATCTTTATTTCTCTACAATTCAGTTTGAATAGTTTATTTCCAAAACGATATATCCACCAATTTTTGACAATTGTGTTTTTTCATCAGAAATGATTGCTTATGGATATCTTCATGATTGTGTAAAATATTATTGTTCTCAGATTTTGAATTAATAGATTTTAGATGTGTATGAAAATGTTTTTTTTTTTTGCAAAAAGCTATATATCCATTGTTTAGCTGGAATAGAATGTTAGTATCCTGTATATTTGATTGTGATATGTGGTGGTCTCACCTAGCTACAGTATCTTAAGATGACTACATTTACTGTCACTCTGGATAAGAACATCTACTAAATGACTAAAATGTAAAATGTAAATGTTTTATATATAGATCTCATATTACTTGATTGTATTATTCTTTTTCACTATTAAAAAAATACTGATGTTACAAATGTATAATTTGTACATTTATTTATTAAAAGTGTAGTTATTTGTTACATTTGACTGTGTAAAACCTAGCAGTACTACTTATTTATCTGAGAGTGAGGTGGATATATAGCTTTTTGCAAAAAAACATGATTATTTGTCTGTGAAATGAAACCACAAAGTGATAGATTTTAAACAAATACATGTCGGTCATTGAACAACCCCACGCCATGATTAGATAGTGAAAAAAACACACCAATCTCTTTCATAATGTATTTATACAATAAAAGCTAATTTACCAACATTTCTGAAAATGGATACATAGCGTTTTGGAATGAAACTTTTCAATATGTTTTGATTGTAAAAAATCTAGATAAACCCTGTGCACCGCAGTGGATCTAGGTCCAGTGCTGGTTTCGGCAGGAACAACTAGGGAGGGGGGGAGAAAGGAAGAGAGGAGAGGGGGAGAAAGAGTAGTAGAGGCAGAGTTGTTTCTCTGTGTGTGAGGAGAGAACACACTGGGCACAGACATCAGTTCAACGTCTAGTTTTGATTTACATTTGATTGAGTTGTCAACTATTGTAAATTCAATGTGAAATCAAAAAAAAATCGCACAATGTCATTGCATTTAGGTTAAAAGTTGAGTGAAAAAAAATACTAAATGCCCTTACGTTGATTACTTTTTGCAAATCCAATGAGTTTTCCACATTGATTCAACATCATAATATAGATTTTGGGGGTTGAAATGATATGGAAACAACGTTGATTCAACCAGTTTTTGTCCAGTGGGAAGGGTGGAACGAGGGAAGAGAGAAGGTGTAATCAATGGAAAGACGGAGTGAGGTAGAAAATATTTGTTGCTCCCTTTGTGGAAGGGGAAAAGAGGAAGGAAAAAGGGTTGACTGTGAAAAGAGCCCCACAGTGGAGGTTTCATAATACCCATAAAACCTAGCAGTCAAACAGGGAAATGGTTCCAATCATTTTTCCACTATAAATTTTTCCTGTACGGGTGTGTGCTCAGCCCCCTCCTGTACTCCCTTTTCACTCATGACTGCATGGCCAGGCACGACTCCAACACCATCATTAAGTTTGCCGATGACACAACAGTGGTAGGCCTGATCACCGACAACGACGAGACAGCTTATAGGGAGGAGGTCAGAGACCTGGCCGTGTGGTGCCAGGACAACAACCTCTCCCTCAACGTGATCAAGACAAAGGAGATGATTGTGGACTACAGGAAAAAGAAGAGGACCGAGCACGCCCCCATTCTCATCGATGGGGCTGTAGTGGAGCAGGTTGAGAGCTTCAAGTTCCTTGGTGTCCACATCACCAACAAACTAACATGGTCCAAGCACACCAAGACAGTCGTGAAGAGGGCACGACAAAACCTATTCCCCCTAAGGAGACTGAAAAGATTTGGCATGGATCCTCAGATCCTCAAAAGGTTCTACAGCTGCACCATCGAGAGCATCCTGACTGGTTGCATCACTGCCTGGTATGGCAACTGCTCTGCCTCCGACCACAAGGCACTACAGAGGGTAGTGCGTTCGGCCCAGTACATCACTCGGGCCAAGCTTCCTGCCATCCAGGACCTCTATACCAGGCGGTGTCTGAGGAAGGCCCTGAAAATGGTCAAAGACTCCAGCCACTCTAGTCATAGACTGTTCTCTTTGCTACCGCACGGCAAGCGGTACCGGAGCGTCAAGTCTAGGTCCAAGAGGCTTCAAAACAGCTTCTTCCCCCAAGCCATAAGACTCCTGAACATCTAATCAAATGACTACCCAGACTATTTGCATTGCCCCCCACCCCACTTCCCTCTTTTACGCTGCTGCTACTCTCTGTTTATTATCTATGCATAGTCACTTTAATAACTCTACCTACATGTACATATTACCTCAATTACCTCGACTAACCTGTGCCCCCGCACACTGACTCTGTGCCGGTACCCCCTGTATATAGCCTCGCTATTGTTATTTTACTGCTGCTCTTTTCTTTCTTTTTTTTCGGTATTCTTTCTTAAAACTGCATTGTTGGTTAAGGGCTTGTAATTTCACTGTAAGGTCTACACCTGTTGTATTCGGCGCATGTGACAAATAAAATGTGATTTGATTTGATTTGAAATCTCTCTCGGACAAGGTGCTTTTATTGAAACATTCGGCTCTATTTACTCTGATTCTAAAATGTTAATTAGCATCAAAGTAGACATGCAAAACTACAAATCCCTGCAAGCTCCTGCACATCTCTACCTGACACCTTTGCTAACAGGTATTGTGTTAATTTAAAACTTGCACAAGACAATTCACAGAATTGTCCATTTAAAGAAATGTCGGCAATTTATTCATTACTACGTTTAGCTAACATTAGATAGTTAATCCAGAGATTCTTACCTTTGCCTCGATTCGAAAAATCTCGTCCAGATCATTATGGCATTTGTAGTTCTTTATGATAGTGCAGTAGCAGCTAATTAGCATTTCATTTTTGGGGGGTAAATACAGGCAAATATATTTATAAAAGTCACCTTGTCTTTCAAAGACAGTTATCAAAACGTCACACCAAGATAAGCCTACATGAAACACA